ATTTACATGCAAGTACACAAACCAGCAGGTAGTGTATACTGTGAGTACGTCAATAAGATTTGTTTGGTTTGGACAATCTCACGCCAAGCACCCAGCAACCAGGAGACCAACTTCATCTTGTTATCAGCTTATCAGGTCAGGTGGTGGAGGACTCTTGACAGGTCATCTCAGATGCCCGATGGAACCATTAATAGACGAAATGAAGAAACTCAAATATCATAAAGGTCTGTAAACATCCACAGCATATAATGGCAGTGTTTGTACAACTACTGCTCACTAAGTACAGTAAGTTATTAATGTAACTTATATGAATTTTATGTATAGTTTATCAAGCGGGCTTTCGCATTCCTGGAGATGTACTGGTGATCTATTATGCTGTGCGGAATTTTGTTTCGTAAAGAAGTTAAAAGTCTTGCTTTGCTGCTCAGATCACACTTAACCAGATATTTTCCGCCTGGAGCAGACTGTCACTCCTATTCATAATGCACCCCGGATGTTGGGCTCTGTTTTGGTGAAAGAAACGATATTTGTCCAGAGCCAACCTGAGCTGAACAGACGGTGGTAAGCAGAGGGCGTCGGTCGTGAAGGAAACCTTACAACACAAACACTGCACCAAGACACTCAAGGTCCAAGTCCCCCAAGAATCGTAACAAATTCTATTCGATTGGGATCAAGAAGATGTATCCAATTATTACAAATCTAAGCGTACTGTTGAGGCCACTTAAGCTGTCAGTCTGGTTCACGCTCAACAGTTTCAGTTCTACAAGGTCTTACAACACCCGCTAGAAAGAAATGATACAAGTTAGTGTTGTTGTACTGTGCAGAGTGAGTGGAAATTAAATAAGTAAATTTAATACAATAGCATCACCAGAGGCTACAAAAACTCGTCTGTTTAAGATGCTGAGGCCACCACTAGGAGAAGCAGTCAGGTGGGTCCGAGACTACGAGTGGTTCATGCATTTTGCCACTTGAATAGTGTTGATGCTTATTGTTGCTACTTATAAAGAGGTGTACGTGGCGTTAATTGGCTTCAGGTGCACAGTAAAAGACAGACTACTGATTGTGTGAAGAATAAATGCATTTTCTGTTTGAGAGCAGTGTCACGTGTGCATGGGAAGCCAGGAAGACACCTGGTAAAGTGTTGCAACAAACACAAACGGTCACCTTTGCTTATGATAGATATTTTCCCTACGTCACCATCCCAAAGGCGGAAGAAGTAGGCGAGTACAAGTTATTCAGAAAATCAGTGATCATAATAAGGTATAAACAGTACCAGCCACCACCTCCTCACCCACGCTCTGACACCAAGCCAAGCCATCACTCCGCCTCATGCTGATCCTCCTACACCCCAGAGAGCAACAGCAGGATTCCCCCTCACAGTCGTTCTCACAAACCCATAAAACATGACGGATCACGTGAAGATTACGCACCCCAACTTATAAATAACACCCTAATGTTAACCCAACCTAAGCTCCCCAGGTAACAATAGGATATTTAATAATCAAGTGAAATAAGGTGAGGTGCCTAGTCTTCACGTGACCCAACATAACATAAAATTGTATTCGAGGATTGTAAACCACGTGTGATAGAAACAATGGTAGATGTTGTATGGTGAAGGACTGAAGGGAGTATGGCAATAAGCTTGGTCAGATGGCTGCCTACCTACACTGCATCGTGAGGGAAATAATGTCTCTTAAATATTGGTTCCCTTTCCTTTAAATAATGACCTAACTAACCATGGAACGCAACAACCTCAAACTATGATATTGTTCCTTTGTATTTATATATTTACTTTGAACCTAAGATAACACTTAAACGCATCTCCCCGTCCACTGAACAACGCATAACCCTATATTGTTCATTTCAATCCTTAACATTGTCATACTGTAACAATATCTTAGTAATGTTTACTTGGGTTACCTGAAGATGAGTTCCCAAATTGTTTCACCTGATGATTAAACACTGTAACGCTACCTGGGGGTTAGGTTAGGTTAGTGTTAAGATAGTTTATGTGTTACGTAATATAATTATTTTACTGAACTTTGAGATTCAGTTATATATGTACCAAATTTTCATCAATAAATCGTGAATACACTCACAAACGTACATAAAAAAACAGTATACATATACACACAAAGCGCTAACACATGTACAGTATTTATTCAAACAAAACGCACCAGTTACTTTCCTATTAATAAATAAATACCTTCATAATAGTCTTTCTTGTCAATAGACAGTACCCACTCACCTGCGTGGGGTTGGGAGGGAGAAGCGAGGGGGCTGGCAGGGGCGAGGGGGGCTGGCAGGAGCGAGGGTGACAAGGTGTTTTTTTCACCATGTCTCTGTGAAGGAAACAGAAAGGGTTTATCAATTATGGCAGATAAATGTAGTGTTAGCAAAGAAAGAACTGATTTAATATTGTAGAAAATAAGTCAATGTTCAGGATCTATATGAACACCCAACACTGTTAGCACGTTGATGAACCTTGACAAACTGAATGAAATATACAATAAGAGATACTAAACATCAATACCACCGCCTTCTAGCTGCTACAGACCTCAGTAATAACTCTCTTTAGCCCAGAACCAATGTCTTGATACTAGATGAACATAAATACCTTGAAACGTAGATCTTCCATTTACACTTTGGTGGAGCGAAATACCAAAATATTCCCACCCCCCCCCCCCAAAAAAAAAACATTAATATTTAGCGAGGTGATCTGTGGTGTGTGGGTGTGTGGGTGTGTGGTGTGTGGGTGTGTGGTGGGTGTAACGTTTAGAGTGTGGTGAAGGAGCTTATACGTCTCACAGGGGTCCTTGGGTTCTGTTAGCTGTACAAAAAACTGCACGTTGTACACATCAGAGGTGAACCAGTCCTGTTGCCTCATAAACAACCACCATCCTACACTCTTATCATCATCACTCTAATCATCATCATCATTAAAGTTGTACACATTCCTGACAGTATCTCTGAATGTTTGTACGAGCAGCTACGTATGCTAACACACTTCCTTGTGTAGCTTTATGACTAATAATGCATCGTCATCTTCTTCAACAAGCACAGTCAGTTTTAAAGATTCCTGTTCAAAATTTATCGACCATTTCAAAGGTAGCATTATATTCTCTTAACCTTCTGTGTTCCCTCACTCTTTATTTCTCGACCTTGCAGTGTCCCCCCAACAGGTAACCAGAAGTCGTGTATAAGTTTGGTCATATCTGAGTAAACAACAACTGAGATATTCTGGGAATAAAATTATTAGATTTTTCTTAAGAAACAGTGACTTGACCTTTAACCCCTTGACTCCAAAAATAGAATATGTCCTTCTACTACCCAAGTGATGACCACAACCAACCCGCCCTATCAACAGTGTGGGGACGAACACAAACACAGGCTCAGTTTTTTTAATGGGGATTAGCCCACCCAACTACTGTACAGGTAACTGACCCACATCGGGGCCTGGGGGCGAAAATATAATAATAATAATAATAATAATAATAATAATAATAATAATAATAATAATAATAATAATAATAATAATAATAATAATAATAATAATAATAATAATAATAAACAATAAATGTATACAAAAATTAAGAAAATCAAGAGTGAGAAGCGATATACAATATTTTATGCTGTTGTCGATAATAAGAGAAACAATTGCGACCCTGCAGTTGTCTGTAAATGAGGCAGAAAGTCAGATCAGCAACCTGGGACTTGATCACAATATTTGTGATGCCATATGGCAGCAGGGTCTACCATTAGACAATACATTATGCTTCCAATATCTTCCCAGGTGGTAGTACCTCCCTGTTTGATAGCTGCCTACTACCTACTGCCTATATTATAACTGTATTATACTGTACTCCCTCTAAAGCTTCGTGTTGGGGGCAGCGGCGGCGGCCGAATACAGAATTATATCACTCCAGATAAAATGAAAATTAGACACTCCAACTTAATTCCTCTTAAGAACAGCCACCCTAATGTTACCTGAGGGGTTAGATTGGTTAATCTTCGGGTGAAGTAAGCTGAGGTGTCTAATTTTCAGGTAATCCGCTCATTTTCCGTCCTAAATGTCTATAGTTCGCACCTGAGACACCCTCAATTCACCTAACTTTACAATTGGGGAAAAAAGGGCAGTGAAGTGCAGTTCCTACCACACTGCCTCCTTGAGTCCGGGAAAAAAAGGTTTAATCTATAGAGCTGTATCTAACCTACCATTAACAGGTCCTACATTTTTCAAGATTCTTTTTGTGGAAGTAAGCCAACGACATCGTTCACTGGCAAAACAATTAAAACGAGAAAAAAGTGATTCTGACGAGACCAAGTAGTGGTGCTGAAGACCTCTGTGTCACTTGGGTATAGAGGGTGGAGTGTGTCAAGGTATTTAGGTCACCTGTGTGTATTTAGGTCATATTGTCAATCAGTAGACTTGACGTGTTACTGGATAATCTACGTTTCATCACTTGCTGCTACTTGTTATCGCGTATATTGCTCGTCAGGGAGTAGTGGGTCCTGGTGGGTGGGAGACAGTACACAGGGATTTTATCACAGCTAAACCAGACAAATAAAAATAAAAAAGGCGCTTAAAACATTGACGACGATAACGATGATTTTTTATATATTGTTTACCCTTTCAATTCCTCTCTTACACCTTCTCTTTCATTTAATTTTCACTTTGTCCTTCACTTTCAATTCCCATCTTTCTAAATTCTCATTCCTGTGCTACTCTCTGTTTACCTCCAGGACTCAGTGTCAGGCTACGTGTGTCCTGTGTTAGGTTAAGTTATAGTAACAGAATGTACAGTCGACACCTGGTCACATTAATTATCAGTCTCACAGGTGCGAAACAGGTGTCTAATTATCAATACTACTACGTATACACCTGGTAACACTTAATTGGTGTGAGGTTCTTATAATAACCTCCAGTATAGAACCTCCCATCACCAAGTCACGTGAGGTTGAGATAATGGTCACTCATGTCACCTTATCCGGCAGGTGTGAGGTCCCCGAGATGGAGTTAAGTTGGTTCACCTGGACGACGCTGCTGACACTCCTCTACCTACAGCCAGGTGAGTTACTGAGTGACTATCTACCACTACTGTCTACCACCACCCACTACTGTCTACCACCACCCACTACTGTCTGCCACCACCCACTACTGTCTACCACCACCCACTACTGTCTGCCACCACCCACTACTGTCTACCACCACCCACTACTGTCTGCCACCACCCACTACTGTCTACCACCCCCTCTCACTTGGCAACAATGTCTTCTAAGTGTCTCCAGGTGTTAGCATTATTTATTAGGTCTCCAGGTTTTTGCATTGTGGAGGTAGACCAGCTCAGTAAATCGCCAACGAGTGTTTAGTGGTGGTTGTGGCGAGCGAACTGATGTAAGTCTTCTGATATATATTTGGTCAGGTTAGGTTAGATTGTGTTTTGTTAGGTTAGGCTAGGTTAGGTTAGGTTTTGTTAGGTTAGCATTAGTGTGATAAGTCATCAGGCGAAATAGTCTGGGGTGCTTAATCTTCATATGATACGTTGCAGTTAGGTTAGGCTAGGTTGCAGTTAGTGAAGTGACACTGAAAATAATTAACACAACATAAGGTTTATTTTCCCATGAACAAATGACGTAATGTGTTGTGTATTATTGAGGGAGGAGCGACACCCTCATGCAGTGTACGTGAAGAATAAAACACTCACCACTGACATGTTGTATTCATACTTAATAGGTAATCGACTTAGTATACTGTATACACCACACCTAGCAAATTACAGTAAAAAGTTTCGGTCAAAATATGTTAAGTGTTGCAAATGACGGGGTGACAAGACGTGCGGGAACAAGGGGTAATAGCCTAACATGTACAACCATTTATTAACAATACCTGTATCACTGGTTCTATGTCACTTTGTCTCTACCTCACTCACTCTCGCCCCAGATCTGTCTACCACTGTTGGTGTGACCTTGGTCTAAATTGAGCTAAATCTAAATAAACTAACTGTATAGGAGACGTTGTCACACTCAAGGTAGAAGTCACAATGTAAACAAACACAGAAATTCGTTGACGTACTGTACTATTATAACTCTTTCTTTATTATTATTATGACATACATGACCCATAAGCACAGTAGATGCAAAAGTTGCCAAATGTGTTCAGGGAATTTCGACCTAGACTTGTATTGTACATGTACCACGCAGCCAGTCTGGGTCCCTAACAACCCTTATAGTCACTACAAGTGATCTTGGTCACGTTCGTGCCTTTGTGAGAGTTTGAACGCTCGTGACAGCGAACAGCGAATGCGGGTGTGCCAAGTCCGTAGACTTGCACGGTTAATTAGGGTGCGCCAAGTCCGTAGACTTGCATCGTTTTCCATCGTAAATAAAATTGTGAGCTAATGCCTTCCTAAAGAAACCATCGACATGGGACCAGGTTTGTTCCACTCTACGAATTTTTTGCGATTTTTCCTCCAAGTTTGATGAAAAACGATTGTGCCATTTCGGCTGCCCAGAACAGACACACACACACATGCCTAGTCCGATAGTATATTAGATAAACGACCTCCTCCTAGCAAACGAGGGAGGGTCACTACTTTACTGAGTTTTATTAAATAATTATAGAATATTAAGGTTATCTAAATCTCAGAGGGACAGAGCAAGATCTGTTGAATTGAGACGAAATACTTGTCAAAATAAATGTAGGATTACGTAAAGATTAGGCACCTCAGCTTATTTCAGCTTGAGTTTAAACACCCTAATACTAACCTAACCTAACATGCCCTAATCTAAGCTAATCTAACACAACCGAATACCTTATAAGCTACCCTACCCTAACATATCATAAGCTAACTTAACCAAATATAGCCTTATCTAAGCTAACCTAATATAACCTAATCTAAGCCAACCTAACCTTACATAACCTAACCCAACTAAACTTATATAACTTAACCTAATTACCCCCCCTCCAAGTAGCACATTCCCTCCATCTATTTTTCTCCTTTCAATCTACATCACTACTTCCCTATACTTATTGAGACAACACGCGTCTGGGTTTAAATTGGACTCTTTAAAAATACAGTTTCATACAAGAATTATTTAACTATGGCAACAACAAAATTCTCGTTTAGTGTTACGTAAAAATATCAATCGTAACAACTTTCAATAAAATAAAATAAAGGAATATATTTTAGTACCACTGTTGATGAAAGCAAGCGAGACCAGAGAACAAGATGCAGGAATATAGAAGTCTTCACCCGTCTCCCACAAATTTCACCATAGTTCCGGGTATCTCAAGAGGGTCTATGTCAGTACGGATGTTATGGTATTTCTAACATGACTGGTACAGAATAGTATACTACATTAGTAACGTTATTACATTTGTACAAGATTTTTTTTATTGGTACTTTTTTCTGGGGAAGGAAGGAGGTCGGTGGCGTGTTTAATTTCATCATTATTGCTGGTGAGTTTGTCCTTCAGGAGAAAACCAGAGTACCCGGAGAAAACCTGCTGTGTTTGGTAGAGTCGCACCGGACAACACCCTTTTCACATCCGGGCAGGAGTAGTGAGAGGTGCAAGATCTACCACCAGCTCGTTGAAGTAATTAAGTAATTTTGATGTTATGTCATACGTGTGTGTGTGTGTGGTCGACAGGTGTGAGCGAGCGGGCGTTGTTCTTCCAGCCAGACAACCTGCCCAGCTCGGAGGCCAGAGCTACCATCATGCTGGACCCAACCTCCAGCCCCCCTCTCACCAACCTCTCTGTGTGCTCCTGGTTTTGGATCCACCACTTCAGGGAGAAGACCTACGTGTACTCCTACGCCACCTCTGACAAGAACAACAACGAACTCAATATGGGCCTTAGTGAGTGATGCTCTCTGTTTGTAGTCTTTATGTTAACACGTGCACACATACAAATACAGTATATACACTGCCATGTACACACATCCATACACATACGACATAGTACACACACTCACTCAAACAAATATATATCTAAAACAAGCTAGAATCCAATTTTCAATATTTTAAGGTTATTTACAGAAGAAACGGCGTGTAGGGGACGGGATCATGGTTCCTATTGTGTCAACAAGCACCATTTACAAATTGAATGAGTGAACGATATAAAGTTCCCCACTTATACACCTCCCAGCTCCCCACTTATACACCTCCCAGCTCCCCATTTACGCACCTCCCAGCTCCCCACTTACACACCTCCGAGCTCCCCACTTACATACCTCCCAGTTCCCCACTTACACACCTCCTCCCAGCTCCCCACTTACACACCTCCCAGCAACTCACCTTACACCTCCTAGCTCCCCACTTATCCCGCTCCCCACCACCCCTCCCCCCCTTACACACACCTCCCAGCCCCTCACTTACACCTCCTAGCTCCCCACTTACACCTCCCAGCTCCTTACACACCTCCTAGCTCCCCACTTTACATCTCCTAGCTCCCCACTTACACACCTCCCAGCTCCTCACTTACACACCTCCTAGCTCCCCACTTATACACACCTCCCAGCTCCTCACTTACACACCTAGCTCCCCACTTATACACCTTCCAGCTCACCCACACCTCCTAGCTCCCCACTTATACACCCAGCTCCCCTTACACACCTCCCAGCTCTGACTCCTTACACCAGCCCTCCCCTCACTTACCACCCTAGCTCCCCACTTACATACCTCCCAGTTCCCCACTTATACACCTCCCAGCTCCCCTCACACACACCTCCCAGCACCCCACTTACACACCTCCCAGCTCCCCACACACACCCCTCCAGCACTTACACACCTCCCAGCTCCTCACTTACACACCTCCCAGCTCCCCACTTACACACCTCCCAGCACCCCACTTACACACCTCCCAGCTCCCCACTTACACACCTCCCAGCTCCCCACTTACACACCTCCCAGCTCCCCACTTACACACCTCCCAGCTCCCCACTTACACACCTCCCAGCACCCCACTTACACACCTCCCAGCTCCCAAGTTTCACCCCAATTGGTTATGACTGTACCACTGACCTTTTCCCTGACATAAGTATTGTATTAACCTCTTCTATAGCTCTTAACACTTGCTCTAACTATACCTTCACCTATTGTATGAGACGGTAATAACATGTTTTATTTATCTGTTACTCACATGTCTAGCCACACACGCACACACACACGCAAACACACAAATACACACACATATATCCACTCCATCTCTCTCTCACTTAGCCATTTCATTCACCACATCAACCAGCCATATTAAATTCTTCCTCGCTTTAATTTTCCTTAACTGTTTCTCTTCACAATATTTGTTTCATAAGTAACTAACCATTATAATGAGAAACAAATGCCTCCCGTATTATTCATTAGGTATGTGTGTGTGTGTGACAGCTGCCATTCATTTTCAATGATACACAAGCTCCACGAAACACTCAGAGAACGTCACTTGTGTATTAATGAAACAATTACAGATTCTTACAACATTTATACATAACGTTCTTGGTGGATGTTCAGCTGTAAAAACATTATCCTTCAATTCTCACTACGATGAAAACTTACTAATAAGATAAATTTACTACTAAATAAAAACACTGTAGCACAAAATTATCAACTGTGAGTTTATATCGTTATCAGTTGTCCTATTTAAGAGCATCGTGTGTTTACTTAATTGTCACCCACACACACAGTCTTCCCCTCAGGTGCTGAGTGAGTTATTAGTAGTAAAAACCTCTCTGTTAGTCTACCAATTTACCCCCTGAGGCCAGACACCCTCGCTTACCTGTAAATATTTAATCCACCATTGTTCATGTCTAGAGGAGATAGGGAACAAGACGTCGAGTCTTAACACACAAAAGTAAAGTGGTAATTGGCAACAAGTGTCATTAACCTTTACAGCGACCGTTTCCAGCAGTAATTACCAGATATTAGTTATGTGGAACAATTATCTGCCAATAGTATGAGTATGGTGTTTTAGTACAGCTATTTCTTCATCTTTATCTTACACAGTACACATCCCATACTTCTTCCCTTCTAAAACTTCTTGGGCATTTCCTGGTCTCTATCTGTCTCTTATTCACGATCTTGTCTTACGCCTTTCAAGTTCTCTCCACATAATCCGAATTTAGTAAAGCTAATACCTCTCTCGCACCCTTTCATTTATTTTAGAAGCATAAGTCACCGACTTTAAGCTTTCTTAGGGCGACGAGCCACGGACCTGACACTCTCTTGTGACTCTAGTGATTTTCCCTGTGTGTGTTTTTTTTTTACTTCATTCCAAGACCTTAGTCTGGACTCTACTGTAAACACTGTCTCTTTATAGAATTAGTCTTTGATCAGTTCTGACCGTCCCTGACCTTAACTTTATACCTCTGTGACCTTCTTTGACCTTCACTGACCCCAAATTTATTCCTCCCTGACCCTTTGACACCTTCATTTACCTCATCTTTATACCTCTCTGACCTCTCTTTAACCTTTTCCATGACCCATAGAAGAGTACGTGGCATACATAGCGGTGGGCGGGAACTACAAGTACGGCCTCAGGAATATGACCTACGTCCCTGGCGTCTGGTATCACATCTGTTTCGTCGTCCAGTACAAGAAGTTTTTCGTCTATCTCGATGGGTGAGTGAAACAAGGGAGGGAGTGAGACAAAGGAGGGAGGGAGTGAGACAGGGGAGGTATTGGGGAAGGAAGGAAGGAAAGAAGGAAGGAAGGAAAGTGAAGAAGCCACCTGTTTGTGTTACCTTACTTTAATTTACCTAAGTTGTGAATTACATTAATTAGCTTACATTCTCATACTGAGCGACAGCTAAGAGTAAGAGTGACGCCCATATAGTGTGACGACTTTCAGTAGTTAGAATGACGACAACTTGGTGTAGCACAACTAACAGCAAATCTGAACGACACCAATTTAGTCGTGTCTCCTCCTTCAGGCAGCTGCAGAACACTGACGATATCACCCCGCGCAATATCCTGATGAACGGCTCCCTAGTGCTGGGCCAGGAGACGGACCTGGTGCAGGGCGGTTACCAGGAGCAACAGAGCTTCTCCGGCATCATCACCGGCTTCAAGTAAGTATAGGTGCAGTGCAGGGAGGGGTGGATAGGTGTGGGGAGGGATGGGTAGGTGTGGGAAGGTGTGGATAGGTGTGGGGAAGGATGGGTAGGTGTGGGGAGAGGTGGAGAGGTTTGTGTAAGTGTAGGGAGGGGTCGAGAGGGTGGGTAGGTATATTTATGAGATGAGATAAAAATACAAACAAAACAATACGACTTTTTTCCTCGTGACCTCGGTTGACCTTGAATGACCGTGCCGGCAGCCTGTACAGTCGTGGCCTGAGCAAGGAGGAGGTGCTTGCCTTGGCCAGATGTTCCTCCAGCGTCGACGAGGGTGACATAGTGGCTTGGTCCTCAACCTCCTGGCAAATCGAGGGTCAGGTCACAGATTTCGACCTACCACAGCAAGAGTACTGCACCCGTAGGTAAGTCTGGGTGGTCAAACTTTACCTTACCCGTGAATAAGTAATGAGTGACGGTTCAACCTATCAGAATTCACAACTAAAATTATTATTTATTGGAGTGAATACACGACACAAGGTTCAAGAACATCACAGTTTGTAACATTAGGTTTAACAAGACCATACTTTAATACATTACCTGAGTCTCCGGTATAATCACCCACAAACACACATACAACGAGAGAAAGGACTAGATAGAGAGACAGGTAGGTAGATGAAGGGAATGAGAACAAGTGAGGGTAACACGCCTCCTTCAGTTCCCAGACGACGTTGTTCCCGGAGAGGCTGACTAACGCCGCTGCCCGTCAGTGGTGCACCAACCTCAAGACGGTAATGAGCCTTCCCCGCAATGCCGAGGAGAACACCAGGCTCTACCAGGCAGCTACGCCCTTCATCTCTGTCTGCCAGCCACCCAACCACGCCAAAGGATTCTTCTGGATCGCCGCCACTGACGCAGCAGAAAATGGCAAATGGACAGACCTGGAGGTGAGGCTTGACGTTCCTAAACAATATTTCGTTTGGGTGGAATAAAAAAAAATCACCAAAAAGCGTCGTTGGTCTAGTAAGTTACCATGTTACAGGCAGAGGTTCTAGAAAGGCAATGCGAGGATATGAGTGCAAAAATACTATCACTGGAAATAAAATGACATACAGTACCAGGCTGTGCCTCTGTAATATTCGTCCTAACATTATGTAGTAATTCCATGACGCCAACTGTTCACACACAAGTCACACCAGGACCTAGACAGAGCAGCGCCGGACGTTCATACAGATTGGCTAATAATAATTAACTGTGTTTTAAAACGAAATATTAGGAAATCTTTAAGTAGCTTAATACTTGTATGTGTTTGTTGTTACTAAGACTTTGGCACCCAGAAACACATCCTAGTTGCTGTTTGTGGTGTGTTGAACTAATGTTTGTGTGTCCTCAGGGGAATCTACTCAACTTTACCAACTTCAAGGGATCATCTACGTCCAAGACCCTCAACTGTGCTGGGCTGTTGATCCCTCCCCAGGTCGAGGAGTGGGACGACATTAATTGTAGTGACACCTACAAGTTTTGCTTCGCCTGCGAGGAGGAGGAGGTACCTGCCGTGCTCAAGATGCGGGGACTGTGTGAGACTGACATAAAGTCCGCCTGGTTTACTCTACATCAACAGGGTGCACAAAGGCCCACCTTCATGTAAGCTGCTGCCTTCGTCTGCCCCCATAACTTGAGGTCAGTTTGTAACTGTCCAAATATTGAAACAACGCCAAATTACAACGTGTTAAAAACTATCACATAGAGAATTCCATCCCTATAACACCACAATGTCACTCCACACAACTATATCGTTCCTATTCTGTCACCATTCAACTGTGGTATTTATTTATACCCCCTCTACTGACTCACGACTTCATGAGGCACTGTATAGTGAGCAGGAAGCCTCATCATACCAACATCATCATCATCATCATCATCATCATCATCATCATCATCCTTTGCTGCCGGCCGTAATCCTCGGAAATAGAGGTAAACCACACAGTTGACTACTCTTATCATCCCACCGACTCTCCCTGTTTACTCTCGCTAGTTCAATCACTTTTATCTTCCAAAACTCTCTCTTAAAAGTTGAAGGTTGGAGGTGTATTATAATGTCCCTTAAGACCATAGCTGACCTTAATGAACCATAATTAATCTTAAGGTAATAAGGTAGGGTAATGAGCCATAATTGACCTTGGTGAGCCATAACTTCTCAACCATAAGTGACCTCATTTTGAGCTATAATTGACCTTAATGATCTAGCATTCGCCTTAGCGAGCCATAACTGAACTTATTGATCCATAATTGACCTTACTGAGCCTTAGCTAGTCTTACTTTGACCTTCTTTATGCCATGAGTGACAGTTAAGGTGATCAGACACCTAACAAATTACCAAAACACCAATCTAACCTAACCTAACCACTAACTGACCTATACGTGACCAGGGGCTTCACCAAATACCACGTGTACTTAAAAGAGGAAACAAGCACCTGGTACCTGCACGATCAGTGGAAGAACCTCACCCTGGCCACCTACTACACCTACGACCTCTCCTACCCCATCGGCACCCACCAGTGGATACTCACCACCAACTATAACGTCTGCGGCAAACCTGAAGGTGGGTGTTGGAAAGGGTGAGTGTGTGGGGTGGATGTTGCAAAAGGTGAGTGTGTAGGGGTGGGGTGTGGAAGCAGGGTGTTTGTAAGGGCAGGGTATATCATTGTTCTCTTCTAATACTCTTAACACAAAGTCCTGTATAGCAGAAGACACGATAAAGAGAATGGTGAGAAAGTTACCATGGTAATAACTGTTCAATCCACCAACATAAAAGAGAATGTACTGTAATGTACCATGGCCACACCTCTCCCTTCCTCCTCCGGCCCCCCACTGGCTCCAACTAGTGCTGTGAGTCTTACTGTGTCGAGAATGGGAGCAAAAACGCAACAGAGGCCTTTGTACCAATATAGAACGGCCGGGGGTGAGTTAATGAGGTAACTACTGTAGGTGTGATCTCTTCCTCCCCCACAGGTGCACAACACGAGTTGTCATTGTCAGCGTGCTACGACTGGGAATACACATGTGGGGACGGTACCTGCATCAAGCTGGAGCAGCGGTGTGACCTGCGGGTGGACTGTCCAGACAATACGGACGAGACAGGGTGCGAAAAGCTGGTACTACCCAAGGGCTACCTCTCTACCCTGACCCCGGCTGGTGTATCCCTCGGCCCGCTGAAAATGAACCTGTCCCTCTCCATCCAAGGCTTCTCTGAGGTACACACGGGTGGTGGGAGGCTTATAAGGATGCTTGGAGTACACATGTGTTCTGGGAGGTTCACAAAGGTGCTAGGAGTTACAGATGGGTGCTGTGAGGACTATATAAATGTTGGCAGATACACATTAGTCCTGCGAGGACTAAATTTAGCAACAAATAAAAACCATGCTACGAAATCTCCCCTGGCATTAAAATTTGCAATATAATAGGCTTAGATATTACTTAATAACTACCAGATAATAACTAACAGGGGGGGCAGTTTAATGCAGAGTGTACGATGGCTAACTGACGGAGTTTAATATGTATGGGAAGTTAAGTGAAGAATGAAGTGATTTAGATCCTAAACCCTTTCGATGCAGTTCCCGCACTTTATCCCATTCTTCTTAATTCTGGCTACCACCAGGCGATTTTATTCAGCTTAGGGAAAACTCCGGCAGCCAAAGGGTTAAACAATATGAACCTCGACAGATCAACATCCGAGACATGAAGCTGACGGTAGACCTGTCGACTACGCTCTCCTGGCTGGACCAGCGCCTCCGATACACCAACCTTAAGGACCTGGACGAGATTAACTATATCGAGGTAGGGAGGCCACACTGTTGTTTCTACCAGGGGGCCACACTGTTGTTTCTACCAAGGGCCCACACTGTTGTTTCTACCAAGGGCCCACACTGTTGTTTCTACCAGGGGCCACACTGTTGTTTCTACCAGGGGCCGCACTGTTTCTACCGGGGAGTCACACTGTTGTTTCTATCAGGGGCCCACACTGTTGTTTCTACCGGGAACCACATTGTTGTTTCTACCAGGGGCCACACTGTTGTTTCTATCAGGGTTGTTTCTATCAGGGGCCACACTGTTGTTTCTATCAGGGGCCACACTGTTGTTTCTACCAGGCCACACTGTTGTTTCTACCGGGAACCACATTGTTGTTTCTACCAGGGGCCACACTGTTGTTTCTACCAGGGGCCACACTGTTGTTTCTACCAGGGGCCGCACTGTTTCTACCGGGGAGTCACACTGTTGTTTCTATCAGGGGCCCACACTGTTGTTTCTACCGGGAACCACATTGTTGTTTCTACCAGGGGCCACACTGTTGTTTCTATCAGGGGGCCACACTGTTGTTTCTACCAGGGGCCACACTGTTGTTTCTATCAGGGGGCCACACTGTTGTTTCTACCAAGGGCCACACTGTTGTTTCTATCAGGGGGCCACACTGTTGTTTCTACCAGGGGGGCCACACTGTTGTTTCTACCAGGGTCCACACACCTATCTCTTTATCAAGGGCCACATACGTGTAAAAAATAAAAACTAGACTATTTTCAACATTTCAGCTGAGCACCATAAACTAATCTAACCTGACCTACACTAACCTGACCTAACCTGACCTACACTAACCTGACCTGACCTAACCTACACTAAACGTTAATATTACAACACCTAAACTGTCCGGTGATTTTGTCCAGGTTAAGTTTTTGTCCATGCATCGGCCAAAACACGTCCATTAATTTGATCATGTAAGTATTAACAACTCGTCTTAAAAATTGTGCAGTTGTTCAGGTACAGTACAAATATATATCTGAAGAGGACCACCTGAAGATTTGACACCCCAGCTTCCTGCATCTTCCGTAACGCTATCTGGGGAGGTTAGGTTAGGTTAGGTTTACGCTAGGGTATGGTTAATCTCAAGGTGAAATTACCCCAAGAGATCACAAACTACAACAATTAACACCTTTGTAAACACCATTATCATTAATCTCTATCATCGTCATTATTATCACCATCAATACCCTCACTCCTCATCATCACTAGCGACAACACCATTACCACTAACGCTACTACCTCAAACATCACCATAACCAACACTAACATCACCACTACTACCACACTAACCACCATCACCACCACTATTAAACTAACCACCACCACCACTACTAAACTAACCACCACCACCACTAAACTAACCACCACCACCACTAAACTAACCACCACCACCACCACCACAGCTTTCACAGGTATGGACGCCCAAGGTGGAATACATGAACGCAGACTTCCCCAAGATCTACACCACTGACCCCGTCCTCACCGCCAGACGCGTCTCACCCCCGGAGCCAGACGACCCCTCCGCCCCCACCCACGGTAAGGAGAGTTTCTGGGTGCGGGAGGGGCGGTGATGGAGACAAGGGAGAAGGTCAATTCACAAGTGGGGAAGGAGAAAGGCAGAGGAACAGAAAGTAAGGAAAGCAAAGTTAGGGAGGGTACCAAACAAGGAGAGAGAGAGAGAGAGAGAGAGAGAGAGAGAGAGAGAGAGAGAGAGAGAGAGAGAGAGAGAGAGAGAGAGAGAGAGAGAGAGAGAGAGAGAGGTGTATTACAGTGAGATACAATTTCCACAAAAGGTTAAGACGAGACACTTTAACACCAGAGTAATTCCTTTCAGATGAGGTGTATGAAGGGAGGAGCAACCCCCTGAGACTGAGTCAGAAGGTCAACGCTCCCTTCTCCTGTTCTATGAACCTCAGGAACTTCCCCTTCGACACCCAGCAATGTCACCTGCTGCTGCGACTCACCTCCGCCAGACTGGACTTTCTCATCTGGCAGGACCTGAACGTCACCTACCTGGGAGAGGTGAAGACTATAGTAGTGATAATTACTCTAATATTTGTCTTAGTGTTAAGTTTGTGTTAGATGAGCGCGCGCCTGTAGTTCACTATGATCTGTTAACAAACATCACATTCTGCCTCATGCCAGCTCTGGTACTGTACACACTTGCACTATCAGTCACTTCTCCGTGTTCGGGGGCAGGTAGAGGCAGCAGGTGGCGAGCAGCAGCTGCCATCAAGCATTTGGTAAATTCTTGTATTTTAAGAGAAAAATTATGAATAACATATAAATAAACTGATCATGCATTATCTTTTTGCCAAGTTCCTCTCAAAGAAACAGTTTTAGCTGTAGCGAGCCAGCAGGACCACCAGCCACACTCTTCACATTATAAGTTATATGACAAGCAACCCAGAAATGTCCCCAACGTGGGAGTTTGGGTGGAACCACCTCATGAAAAAATAATCAAAATATTTGTTGGGGGTCCCCTCCCCCCATAAAGATGTTAGAGTAGTTGACGTAGATGCTAGTGTAGTGGATGCAGTGCAGCTGATAGTGTAGTCATGTAATAACGAAGACAAATGTGTGTAGGTGCTGCTGACAGAGTATGAGGTGGCTGCCGTGGTCATCGCGCACAAGGTGAATCTTAACTACAGTGTGGCCGACGTGAAGATCACACTATACCGCCGCTTCTGGTTCTACCTGACGTCGACCTACCTGCCCACCATCATGCTCATGGTGATCAGCTACGCCTCGCTCTACTGCAAGCGAGAGAACACTGACCTAAGGGTGATGATGTCGCTCACCACGCTGCTCGTGCTCTACGCCCTCTACCAGCAGATCTCTGACGGCCTCCCCAGGACCTCCTACACCAAGGCCATCGACGTCTGGTGTTTCTTCGCCATCACCTTCATATTCACAATGGTCTGTACAACATTAACAGGTTTACTGCATGAGAGTGGTGAGGATGAGAGGACACAATCATAAAACAAAGGGAACATTTAAAACATATCCGGGTCAAGTGACACGAAAGATGTAAATAAGAAGATTTAGAAGTAAAGTCAGGAAGAGAGTATAGGTGAAACACTTGAGAGAGAGATGCCACGTGGCAGTGTTGCCTGTACGTGCTGTACGAATTATTCATGTTTAAACAAAACGTTTGGTATATAAACTTATACAAAGACATTAAAAATACACGTTACATGTACTCTTTACTTATGACTTCAATTATTGGCTTTCAAAATACCAAAATATTGAGCAAGACAGGTACAGGGGGACGCTATTGTGTAACAGTAGGGAAAACACACTCAGCATGACAAACATTCTGGCACACCGCAATGATTTGTTGTGTAAGTCAGATGAACAGTCAGTAATTGCGGGAACCATTACCGACTGTGCATGTTTTGGGGTTTTTTTTGGGGGGGGGAGGGGGATTAGCCCACCCGGGCACAGGTCACTGACCCACATCGAGGCCTGAGGGGCGAAAATGTAATAATAATAATAATAATAATAATTCATAGTTAATAAAATTTATAATAGAAATGCAAAATCAAAGATAAAATAATAATAATTCACAGGAAACATACAAATTTAAAAATAAAATAATAAAATAATGATAATAATAATAATAACAACCCTGTAATGCTAATAATAACAAAGAACCATAAAAAATACAAAAATTAAAAAAAAATCAATAGTGAGAAACGATATATGTTTGTTGTGTTGTCAAAGTAAGAGAAACAATTGAGACCCTGCAACTGTGTGTAAATGAGACAGAAGGAGAGATCAGCAACCTGGGACTTGGTCACAATTTTCGTGATGCCATATGGCAGCAGGGTCTACCATTAGAATTCAAGGGTCGGGGAACTTTTTTGGGTATTACCCAAAAAATGTTTTTGGGTAAAATGAAATTACCCCCAGACTTCAAAGTACACTAGTACAGTAAACAAAAACAAGCCAATTTGCTCCTAAAATTGTTGGATATGGTATATATATATATATATATATATATATATATATATATATATATATATATATATATATATATATATTCATGTAGATCCACAATGAAAACATGGATAAGATAGCTTTAATTCAAGACATCTTCGTTGCTCTGAAGATGTCCTAAGATATATTTATATATATATATATATATATATATATATATATAAATATATATATATATATATATATATATATATATATATATATATATATATATATATATACAAAATTCAAATTCATTACCCCTAAAATTTTTAGATTCACCCCATTTGGGGTAATTTACCCCTGTTTCCCGACTCTTGCATTAGATAATACATTATGCTTTCAACCCCCCCCCCCTCCACTGGGTCAACAATGTAAATCGTTTCTTGATAATTTAAAGCAAGACTGTGACAAGGTTTTGTACTCCTGCAGGTAATTTTCCACGTGTTGGTGGACCTGACAGGCAAAATCTCGTATGGATTGAGGAGACGCCGCCATGTGTCCATCCCAAAAGAAGTCAGCTGGAGTGTGGACGAGCCAAAACCGAAGAAGGGGAGCAGGTCCATGGTGGCCGCCAGGATTATCTACGCCATCATTGTGTTCATATTCTTGGTCATCTACTGGACTGTGGTCATCACCAACATAGAGTACTAACTTACTGACAGTCGTCTGCTGTGATTATGAAAAGTTTATTTTCCCAGTGAAAATAATATTAAGGAAAGTTAACCAAATTTTTCATAAAGTCAGTTTGTTTACATAATATTCATGTACATCTATTTATAGTTCAACTAATTATCTTGTCAATTCATTTTTAAAATGATTTCGTAAGATAAGACAAAAATACTGACATAATCATGACGAAGTAAAAATGTAAGGGCGGTCTATACGTACAGTACGCGAGACCTTGTTCTATTAGTAGTTGTACAAAATACTCTTTGTTTAGCTCTTTTTAACATTAAACTCTCCAAGAAGCTAATTTCCCAAATTCTGTTCATCTTTTGTTAATGTTACAATGCATGCACTCACACTACATTACAAGTGCATACCATCTGATATTAGTACCAAGTTGGAAGCATCACTTCTTGTCCAAATCACCTTAGTTAAGCAACGTTGGGCCTGGTTAGTACTTGGATGGGTGACCGCCTGGACCTACTGTACTGTACTGTAAGTACACCAGATGCTGCTGGCATAAGGAACTCTACTGGAAACAAACCTATCGTTGCTTTGTCAGCTTTCATTGGTCATATTGACCGAATATAAATTATTATTAATATTATTACCCAGAGGAAGCACGTAGGTAAATGCCAGGAGCGTGCGTGGAGCTCCTCAAGGTCGACTGTTAAATTTGAGACGTCTGAATCTGAAACCGTGTATACAAAAGAATTTTTTTCATTATGTGCATCGCTTAAAAAGCATAAAAATGATAAACATTAGTTTGTACATTTTTCTTTGTTGTAGAGTACAGTGTATTACTGTAATGTATCAAATGACCTTTCATGTTGACTCGGCGATAGTTTGATAATACTGCTTGGCATGAGACAACACGTCTACGATGACAGGTCAATTCTCCGGACTATACCCAGTACATCTGTTGGTGTTATGTGACCTTGAAGTAACACAATTCAGGAGCATCAACAATCTTAGGAACAGGACAGCACCACGTACTAATTTCTGGCATTGACCTGTGACCTTACTTAATAAATGTTACCTTTTCATATAAATAATTGTATATTCTTTGTACCCTTCACTGATTTTCTCAAGTGCTATAAGTTATTTGTCCATTTCGTTTTCGGAGTTCAAAGTGAGTTTGGCTACTGCGTCGATATAAACAAGAACAAGAGAACTAAGGGTAATGCAGTGGACCTATTGGTCCATGCGAGACCTCCTGTCCTAAAGATCGTTGGATTTCGCCCTTGACAATCTCGGTCCACCGAATTGTAAATGACTATATAAATTTACAGTTGGAAAATGAAAGAAATCCAACAATTGTTATGACTTGTGTCAATCTTACCTCGACTTCTCTACTATTTGCCTCAGTTTTTAATCTCCAAATTCCGTTTCTTCTCCGTTTATTAACTTCCCAATTTCCTTATATCTAAACTGACTCTCACAGAAACAGATAATAAAGTTTTCAACAATAAATGAATCAAGAATGCTTTCATGCAGGCGGGCACACACTCCCTCACACCAGAGACCAGAACAACACGTTACTAGAGGTACAGTACAGTACACAGGAACATAAGACTTGCATTACGCCTTGTGTCAGCCTCCCATGACCAAGAGAATAATATACAAATGTGGGTAAGATTCTTGGAATACTTATGGTAATCTGGCACTGACGTAAAGGTCACGTAGGGGACCACCTGAAGACCATGCACCCCAGCTTATTTCATCTAGTGATTTCTTTTGTAGATACAGATGTGTATCAAAATATAAGTACTGTATATCCTTCTTCCAGTTCCCAGATGATTGTATCACCCTGAAAGGTTTCAATTTGTCTACTTCATGAGCAAAAGGAAGATGTTTGCAAAATTCTTGTCCAAAGACATTCTTTGCAGTATAAATATTGTATGTTGCTTTGTCTCCATGAAGATTATTGCTGGGCCACTGTCATGGTACATCAGTAATACCAATACACTGTACACCTGTATTATCTGAAAAGACCTGTATAATTCCCTCTTTGTTTGAGACGTAAATGACCCTTGGAACAATCACTACAGCAGCATCACCTTAATCACCAGCAAGCCTGACTTCAAGCCTGTGTACAGATAACGAGCAAGTAATTATCAAATGTTACTTGTTTCGTTTGTTTGAAAGATAAGATGATTGGTTTACAACTTTACGGGTTCTGGGGTTTTTTATTTCACATTCACAGGAGGACGTGGTGTTTGGTGTATTTGTGTTGTGGTTCTTTTGTGCTGCTCATTCCATAGTTATCAAATACTATACGTATGGGTATGCTGGTGATCTTCTTAATAAAACCGCTAAGAAATAAGACTCACAGACATTGTGAAATGATCCCACTTTTGGCCAAGGAATTTGATACAGAGGAGCACAACCATCAGTTACAACCGCAGTTTTCTTGTCACTGATACGTTCAAGGATGATACTTGTGTCAATGGAAAGCACTGTAATGGTTTATAGGATGTGTGACTTTGGTGATCTCATGGTTCCATCATCTTGGAACAAGGATGGTAACACTGTCCGAAGTTCGTTCCAGAAAATGTTAATTGGGCGTGACAACCCATAATACTTCCTTGAGATAAATGTACAGTATAGAGCTCTGGCTCACAACTAGCTCAGCCATGTTAATATTGTTATTATTATCGACTCTGTATCTGTGTTTTTCTAGCTAAATAAACTGCTTCAATTAATCAAACTCATACTGCAGGTGCTGAGTCATGATTGGCTGGGTCTGGGTGTTGTTGAGCCACCCAGTCCCGGCCCCCGACCGAGCATCACGTATCACCACCACACTCCGTCGTGGCTGCGGTGAGCAGAGTTCTCGCTCTTACTGTGCGCTGAAACATCTCACTAATTCTCCCTGACAGGTATCAAAAAGTTACCGACAGTACACAAGACGTGATAACTAAGAGAAAATACGAAGAATATTTAAAAGAATCCATCAGGGACTCTCGTACTTTCCTGATCAGATAAAGGAAACTACAACAATGAGTTGGTTACTGACGCTGGGAGTCATAGCTGTGCTCATCTGGTTACTTAAGACTTTCTGGCCAAACATTCGACAAAGGTAAGTGTGACATGACGAGTGAAAACTTATTTTTAGCCTCACTTTTTAATATCTTTTTGGATGTGAGTGAGTCTACAGAACTGTGTGATCACTGAGATAGGGTGAGACTTCCTTATGCCAAGTTGGGACTTCAGTACACCCAGTAAGGGTGATCGCTCCAACACAGACAGACAGACAGAAACAAATGCAATTATTTTCCTCCATTATTTATCTATTGTAAAGTACACATTAAAAGTAAAGTAAAAACATTGGATTGCTCTCAGATCTGGTGACCCTTGACTCCACACGTAACATTAAGATAAGGTAAAGCTCTACAGTATCCGCCACTAACGTTACCTATTTAGTTTACGAAGGACAACACAGCCTAGGTTCCTGACTCTACACAACATCAAATAAACACACCCAAACATATTAAATAATAAACATTAAAACATACAAACATATTAAAACACACAAGTGAACACTAAATACAGAAATCCGGCACAACGACCTAACTGCTAATTCACTGAATTCGTGAAGGTCAAATGTTGTTCGTCGCTTCATACTAATTTGTTAAGAGTGCAGCCAGTTAGGAAGGTCATGCTTCAACAACAAGGTCTTTAATAGTTAATTGCTACACTAGCAGAGTTCTCACAGTATGTCAGGCATATAACTTCCTGAATTCTAAGTTATGTGGGTTTTCCTGACCGCGAGGACCCTGACTACTGGAGACAGCAACTATAAAAAGCTAATTAGAACACATGGCAATAAACACCTGGACAAGTAACTATGTAAGTATATAAGTCATCTGTCAGTTATAATTACGTCAGATCATTCTACTTGGAAACAAATTCCAAGTTCCGGACTTGAACACAGAGCACCAGGCCGCCTGGTCAAATAATTCTCATTCAGCGACTGCAAGCTTAAAAAAAAAATCACTGAAATTTTTCATTTTAAGTCGATATAAAAATAAGGGATCTCATGAAGATTAAGAACCTCTACTTGTTTCACCTGATGATAAAACACTAATGGTAACCTAACCTAAGCTCCCCATTTAACATTAGGGTCTTTAATCATCAGGTGAAATATACAGGAGTTCCTAATGCTGTATTCATGAGTTCCAGAATTTCAGAAATTTTCATATACTGTGTATCATATTGTGTTTATTTGCACCTCCTTGTACCACGTGTCTCTATAAATAAAGTTAAGACACTGTCTAAACAAACAAGTGACTGACCCGAGCTGGTAATCTGATCCTCCCATACCTTGGCAGCATGGCGGCACATTCCGCGGTCCAATAGCCTGTAAACTGAGAACTTGTGTCAACCCGCTTACTATTATCGCTATATCTTCCCCCTCGTCTGTTGTATAACTGTGTATCATCGCTTTACACTGTTAAGGATAACTCAGTGTTGTAGTGTGAAGTTACATCATATACTGTAAGTCTCTTAACATCAAGGAAAAAAGTTGGCAGACCAGGAAAATTATTTACTGTCTAATTAGCAGTGATCCACCTTGTTTATATGCTGTACACCTTCAATACTTTACTGTAGTTTCACCTTGAATACATTCAACTTTTCCCTCTCACTGGCAAACATTAGCATAGAAAACAGAATTGAAGTCTCAGATTATCCTGCCCCCTAGCAACTAAAGTCTCATGGTGAGTTTACCAAAGTCATCACTTCAACCAAGAGAATAATGTACAGTCTAGCAATATCTGGCATCGACTCGAAGGTCACGTAAGCAAGATAGCAACTGATACTCGAATACCCACAAAACACACCATTCTTCGTATTCTAGGGTGTCTTTTAGTCCAGGTTATTATGCCGTTATGATTTGCGACATTACAAGTTTTAAACCAAGCATACCTCACCCACAAGTAGGTATCAGCTGTATTCCGTGAGTCGAGGAATAATTTTGGCTACTCTTTATTACCTCCTATCCATCCAGCTACTTTCGTCCTAGTATGGATTCACTGTTAAATATCTTAGGGGCGCTGGTGACGACAACGACCCTTCATCTCACTCTCGTCTCTAATCCACTCACTATCTCCCGATTCCCTACAATGGATACGTTCAACCTTGGCTCAGTTCATTGCTTCCTCCCTTATGCTCTGAGCTGGCCTAGGTCGTCTTCCCTCCCTCCCTCACCTCTTCTCTCCCTACTTCACTTCTTCTCCCCCCTTGTCTTTTATTCCACCCCTCTCCTCCTTAATGAACCGTTATAGTCATCCTCCGCTCTACATCTTCACCATCATCTATTATTTTCCAAGATCACTTTAAGATTAGGCACCCCAGCTTATTTCGCCTAATAATTAATCACGCTAACCTACCCTCCCCCCTCCCTAGGCAGAGTTGGGGTGGCTAATCAAGTGAAATAAACTGGGGGAGCAGATAATCTTCCTGTGATCCCAACTTTCCCCTTCCTCAGGCGCGACGCTCTTGATGTTGTGGTGTGTTGCGTTCAGGTCTCTGTTGCCAAGACCACCAAGACCCATTACGCCAGACTGGACACTAAAGTAACCTGTCAACTAATTTAAGTTACGTACAGACGTGTGCTGCGCCGTGGATGACAATGTTGTACTCATAAAGACATAACCAATATGCCTTTTCTTCACAAAACAGCTACATTCTTCCACCAAGCGAACTATTAATAAGTATGGTAGCGTGGCGGGTGGGTGGCAACAAGTAAGTGACGTGTGTGTGTGTGTGTGTTAGCGTATTTCTGTGTTTACATGTGTGTACGCTCCTAAGTTTCACTGTGGGTGTGGCCAAGTGTGAATATATTCTATGTTTCTGTATGCGTGTCTTGAAATACTTGAAATGTACAGAGATAGAAAATTGAGATACTTTGGTCATATACTGTGCATCAATTAGGGATGAAGGGATAATAACAGGAATATTAATGGGCAAAGTTGAGGGTAGGAGGGCTAGGGGAAGGCAGGACTGATTGATGAAAGAAATTAAAAACTGGGTCCCCAAGAAATAGAAAACCACAAGACTCAGAGGATTGGTAAAAACAGCCTGATAAAAGAGTGGAGGACTGTTGTCACGAACCGTCAGATATGAGGACGTTACTCTGGTTGATTGGTTGCCTAACTATATAATGTTAGAAAGTATCCGATAATTTATCAGGACACAATTCATACAATTGTGCCCCCCCCCCCCTCCCCTCAGTACTGCAAAAAAAACGAAGTTAGCACCACTGGCCTAGTATGTGGTATGTGTGCATGCGTAGCGGACAGCAGGACAACTCATGGTATACAAGCAGGTTAAACGGCAACGTAAGTGCCGAGTCCTTATTGGCTGGGTGTTGTTGAGCCACCCAGTCCCGGACCCCGACCGAGCAACACGTATCACCACCACACTCCGTCGTGGCTGCGGTGAGCAGAGTTCTCGCTCTTACTGTGCGCTGAAACATCTCACTAATTCTCCCTGACAGGTATCAAAAAGTTACCGACAGTACACAAGACGTGATAACTAAGAGAAAATACGAAGAATATTTAAAAGAATCCATCAGGGACTCTCGTACTTTCCTGCTCAGATAAAGGAAACTACAACAATGAGTTGGTTACTGACGCTGGGAGTCATAGCTGTGCTCATCTGGTTACTTAAGACTTTCTGGCCAAACATTCGACAAAGGTAAGTGTGACATGACGAGTGAAAACTTATTTTTAGCCTCACTTTTTAATATCTTTTTGGATGTAAGTGAGTCTACAGAACTGTGTGATCACTGAGATAGGGTGAGACTTCCTTATGCCAAGTTGGGACTGAGTTGGCAGTCACCAATGCCATGGACGACTATGTTAACGCGTGGCATATCACCAAGAAAGTCATATATTATGGCAAAGTACTTGTTGTTCTTAAGTCACTGAGATGATAATACACTGTTATATTTACAAAAAATGGGATCACCTGAAAAATCTCCAAGCTTATTTCACCTAAAAATAAACCACCTTAACACTTCGGGGTTTAGGTAAATTTAGGGTTTGTAAGTGTGGTTAATCTTTAGGTGAAATAATCTAGGTACAGATCTCAAGTTATTCTACGAGCTTTGTACTAAATATTATTTACTTCTGTAAATAATTAAGCTGAGCACAAAATCTTGCTCTATTAAATGAAAACTAATATAAGAATAAAATGTACGTCAGCATGATATATTTCCGGCTACTTCCTGGTTAGAGAATCAACCACGAGTGCATACTTATTGTCTACGTGTATGACATCATGAGAACTAGTTTACTTGCTGACCCACGATATTTACAACCACGGCCACCAGCTCTACTCCTCCCGAACATTAAGTGGATCACCTTGTGTAATGGATGATTGATAATGGTGGAATACACTGTAAGTCAAGAATCAGAAATGCACAAACATTAATGTAACACATTACAGGATCTTAAGTGTTTCTTTACCTCCGCAGGCAAGTGATTATCAAACGCTTATCTTACTGACGCTTTTATCCCGAATATTTCACCACACGAACGCCATTACAGTATGTCGATGATGCACACACGCCGCCTAACCTGATAACAGCTAACGAACCTCGTTGTTGCTATTTCTTTACGAATTTGTTTTCACTTTTCAATACAAAAAGTGAGGTACCACAGTTCTGGGAGTGAACTAACAAGGTGGGGATCACATAAATATTAGCCCCCAGCTTCTCCAGCTGGAGCCAGTCTTTATGTGACCCCTCCCTTGTCAGTTCACTCCTACAACTGTCAGTATATATCAATGTACTGTCAACAAAAATATTTTCTGCACCTTTATGGTGTTATGCAATATTACACACCGGGCCAAGAATGCTGAACAAGGGTTTTTATATGTACTCCTCTTAATTTCTTTGCATTAACTATACGTGATATACAGAATACATTGTATTGGTTAAACAATCCGAAGCACAGTACTGTACAGTGCCAACCTTACCAAATAAACATGGCCTCAGTCAGTGATCATTGAGAAGGCTGTCAGACCCGGGGATGCAGAAAATTTTTTTGTTGTCTGTACATACTGAGAAACATAGTCCAGCTGAATCAGAGCTTCTGATCCTGAGAAGCAGACGACACACAATGACGCTCCCAGAATTATCTCATCTCACGATTGACTGGCTGAGCTGACACCCTCATGTGTAATATCTTATTATTGACGGGTCACCATCAACTTTCCTCAGTAGACGTTCGATGTATTTCTTTTTTTTTTGCATTCGTTTATTTCGATCAGACAGATATATTAGTCTACATTTCCATTAAATACTGAGCCAGATAATGTACACATCAGTAATTTAGTGCACGGGGACTTTTCTTAGGCATCACCATCACAAGTCTTGTTATAAGGACACCTGACAGCTTCGTTCAGTTGTAGTTATGCGTAGTGATTGTTACTCAAGACAAGGTCAAGCCAGGTTATAGGCATGACGAGTACAGCTTTGATTACATATAATTTTAAGTATATAATTATGCAAGAATTTGGTTTTAAACATATTGATATATGTTTTATAATATATTCTGTGAAATTTATTCTAACGGATCATATAAAGAATTAGCATCCAAATTATTTCACCTGACGATTAAACACCTCAGTGCAACCTGATAGGTTAGCGTTAAGGTGTTTAATGATCAGGTGAAATAATCTTGTGTTCCTTTTATCCATATTCACAAAATGAGGTCATGGCGCTGAAGTACACATTCAGAGTCCCAAGAATGTTCTGATAACTAAAGAGGATCCACACACATAGAGAAGGTAACCTGCGACACTTAGAACAGAAGGTGAGACTGATATCCAATCGGCCGTCTCACCAATATATGACTGTACTCTCAGTTACTGTCTCATGGGACCAGTCACCCAGTAATACCATGGCTCACAGTTTCGTGCCCAAATATTGTAGCGTTTCTGGTGTCTGGGACTGAAACACGTCTCTTTATCTAGCCGGTATTTATAGGAACTTAGGAAAATCATCCACAGTTAGTGTGCGTCAATACTGAGCATCGCGGCGTATAGGTTCCACTGTACTGTATACTGTACTTCCTTACGCTCTTGGTGAAAAAATTAAACTCTATCTCTTCTGCCTCACTTCCTCTACACCTTCCTGCTCATCTCTCTCACTCATCAATTCCTCCATGTCAACAGGTACTTCGCAGCCTTCATGAACTACTACACCACCCAGCCGAACCCCGACATGGACAAGCTGAAGAAGGATTTGTTCTCCCCGTTGGGATCACTGGTATCGCATGACCCAGAACTCCGCAAGAACAATGCTATCAAGATCCTTGAAATTGGCGTTGGTACAGGTGTGTGAGTCCTCTCTGCTACCTTCTGGGATTTTCACCTTTGTGTGCGTATTCGGGGGGAGCGGGTTTATCAATTTGATTACTACTACGTCTTGGCAAGGGCGGATCCTGGGGTGGGGGATGGGGGTCTGGACCCCCCTATTTTTATTAGAAAATTCCAATGCTTTTTCCGTCATGCAGTATTTGCAGACAGGAATTTTTGTATAGTAAAAATTATTTACTATTGATTTCAGAATATCTCTTAATATCAAGTGTGCATGGCTTCAAAATGGTCTCAAAATGCCCATGATATTGGTCAGATTTAAACAACTCTGGGGGGGGGGGGGCTTGCTGCGCTCACCAGGCTCCCCCATCCACAACTTCTTGGACCCCCCCCCCCTTTGATATTCCTGGATCTGCACCTGCTTGGTGCCAGCAGCTGTAATAGCAAGGAAATTCAACTTACGATATCTTCAATACCTCTCATAATAATCTATGCCAATAAGATAAAAGAAACAGATCAAATAAAAACCTTAAAAATCAAGACAGTACAAGAAATTATAATTCCCTAATACACCATTAAGAAAAAGTATATTTAATTACTGCACTGTACGTCACTTAGCAACCCATTTCATATCCGAAAATCCAAGCATTTTCTATTGGAAACAACAAAATGGAGAATTATATCGTACATCATTAAATTTTAATCGTAATCAGTTACTGCCACTACAATGCCTCAAATACATTATTTTCAAGTCGTTCGTCATGTACTGCAACTGCCCTGCTATTATTCACGAATTTATTCTTAATTTCCACACGAGGAACTTTAAGCCAGCAATCACTAAAAAAGTAATTGGTAACTGGATCTTGTGAGGCGGAAGGGGGAGGGCTGGGTGGAGGAGGCATCTATCTAGCCGACAGGCAGCCACTGAAAATAATGAGAAATTTGACTGCTTAACCTCTGTTGACATCACAGGTACCGTAACGGAGCAGAAAGGATTTAGAATTATTTTGAAACCATTGGTATGATGAAAAACCTAATTTTCAACCCCCTTCACATTCAATACATTACAGCTTTTAGGGTCGATGTGCAAAGGACAAGTCACGGCGCTGTGGGTATACAGTATAACATTTTGAGGGTCGTTAGAGAAGGTTTTTTGGACATGCTTCAGCTACAGTCTTTGTATAGAAGTGTACACAGTTCTTATATATTAAACGCAGTTTCTTAACTCATGTGTATTCACATTCAATTTAAATTTGGTTTGACCTACTTAAATAAAGTGGAAGCACGCAAATGGATACTCTGCTCGCCTCCTGACCAACAGGTTGCTAATTCACTCATTCAGTACCTCAGTTGGCACAGCTGTGATTAGCTATCTGACTTTACAATTGGAAAATTGAAGGAAATCTAGTTCAGTGCCAGACCAATCTCCCTAACGGACCTAACAGGCCTACGAAACCTATTTTTTCTTTTCAAATTCAGTTAATCGGATACTTTTAGTTACATGTACAAAGTATAAACGTGCTCCTTATATTCTGATCTCTAGGCATTCACACTTAAATACTTATTATAAGTTGACCATTTGTAAGACATACTGAATCTTTCCCAAAGTCTACTCTTACCAAGAAACTATAACGGTCACACCTGCCCAGTTTATACTACACGAGAGCAGGAGTAGACTTAACACAGGTTTATTATTACCTCAGTCAAATCCAATTATCCGGAATTAGCTGATGGCTGCTGTACTAAAGATCACAACCTTAAGCAAATGAAACTACAAACAAACAAAACCACTACAACTAACTTCTCTGGAGTAGGAGTTGTGACCTCATGAACTAATTTACCAGCTCTGTTGTGACAGCGCAAAATGTGAATTCTTTCAAAGTCCAGGCTAAACCAACATTGCTGCATCATCATGTACATTTGAGATTGTGTATAACCAGTACATGCTAATAGTGCACAACTGAGAACTGACAGATGCTGAACCGGTTAGTAAGGTGATAAGTGACGAAGACGAGATGTTAGGTACACCCCTGACAGCAACCCACCGTAGTAAAACCTGCCATTTCTAGTGCCAGCTGGCTGCCTGCCGTGTGTCTGAGGTACACTCTTGTTCCTCTAACTTTTAAACAATTCATCATGTCATTGGGAATTGAGTTTTAAAATGAAAAATCAAATGTACTTTAGTAAATGTGTCACCTCTGAAATTTCATTACTAAGCACAGAAATCAATGTAAACTTTGAACTGTAGCAGTTAATTATTCAATATTATATAGATTAAGAAGAATAACTATTTGTTTATCTTGAAAGAGGTGTGATATGCTACTGACGGAGATTTAAGCAGTAACATCAAATGGGCATCAGATTGTTTTACCGTACGTGCTTTGTAAGAGTTAACTTGTAGTTCCCTTTCACACAATGATTACGAGCTGTAGTTAAATTAAGAGAAATCACCTAATATTATATACCGTATGGTATGTATCCTCTGTGTGTGTGTGTATGTGCACATAGAATGGTGTAATGCGTCTAGTGTGGCAGCATTATGTTAGTGTTAAGGTGCAGGCACTGCTTGCTTCCTCTCGCTTTCAGCTACCGCCGCTGGCTAGCCCTCGTGGCGAACAGGGAAGCAACTTGCATAAGTCTTCTCGTACCAGTACACAGCCTCTTTACTATCAAGACTCCTGCTGTGCCTCCTCGTGGCAACACACTGTAACTGGGTGCCTCATGGGCCCAGGCTAGACCAGCAGGGAATCTCGGTGCAGCAGTGGGCCTCAGTGGGCTCTTAGGCCCACTGGCATGTGGACACGTCCTGGCGCCTACCGACCCCGCTGCTTTGCGGATTAACCTTGGTAGGTATAAGGCTACGGGAGTAAAACCCAAATGCAGACATGCTTACAGAACTCCAACAAGACCCCAACGTTGGTATAGGCGGAAGAGGTGACCAACATGGGATCCCAACAACTACACCGGTGGACGAAGGCAATGCAGATGGACAGGCTACTAAGGTGAAACACAATAAACTGGGCTATCGGCAGTCCATTGTAACTCTCTCCCTCTCCCCAGTCATTGCAACTACTTGCACCATTGGATCAGGAAAATGGAGGGCCAAGATGTGTGGTTGAAGCCTGCGCTCCTGCCTCACCACATGAATCAACTCACGTGCAGCCATTATCCAACTTCCCAGCACTAGATGTAGCCCTCCACACGTGCAACATCCGTGGACGGCCCTGCCGATCCTGCATCAGCCTCTCGAGTCATCTCAGAGCTCACCAACGAAGGTGACATCCGTAATAACTCATATCATTGTATCATAGCTGGATAATCGTCATATTCGATTCCGAGTGACAGCAAAGTACAGTAGTAGTATGTGAGATATGCCGCTTTCCTCCACCACGATTTACAACTACTATCTGATTTTCCTGGCTGAGTAAGTTTATTTTGTCCCACCATCAACTTTAAATCACATAACATAAATATCACCTTGGGTACTTTTATCAACTTTCTGTTTAAATATGTGTTCTGATTTCATCTCGAACTGCTTACAATAAACCATATCAACCTTCCTATTGGCCCAGCAGTTCTACAATTTGTTTACGCATAAATAAGCAGAAAGAAATACCACGGCCTAATTTTCTCATATGTCACTTTGATCACTTCCATCACTGTCACTAAAATATTCTCTCATCACTTAAAATTCTTCACCACTAAATTACATTTCCGAATTTTCGTCTCGGTGAGGTGCTCGATACCTCGTTTATAAAAGCCAAGTCATGGAGTGTACTATGTAGCAACACTGAGCTGGATCATTATTATGAGGGTGGCAACAGAGCACAAACACAGCTCTCAGTAGATTCAACACAGGAGGATAAGACTGGCGATACAACAATATGGTCAGTTTCATCTGTCCTACTGAGCAGTCAAGTGTGGTGAGGAGGACTCTTAGGTGACTTAGCCTGTATGCATCATGTGTTTTGAACACAATTGTGACATACTTTAGTAGTTTATATCAATGTTCTTTAATTAAACTGGTCTGCACACACGAACATATAAATATTATACAAACGATAAATTAAAAACAATACAACTTAACCTAACCTAATTTAGATGAACTTTGGTTAATATGGCAAACGTCAACCTACTTGAACGAGATATTAAAATGATAAGAGTTAACATATGTTTGTTTCACAGGGGTGAACTTTGCTTACTATCCTGAGAAATCACGGCTGGTGGTGGTGGACCCCAACCCACACTTCGCAAGTTATTACAATGAAAACAGAGCAAAATTCCCCAATATACAATCAGAGGAAATCATCGTCTCGACAGGTAAGACCAAAATAACACAAACCTTTTAGTTTTGTCATTTGCTTTCCTGAGTATTTTTTTTTTACAGTATATATATATTACGGAGTCCTATCAGATATTTCAACAGAGGAGTACAGTTTATGTCAGAGCCTTAAGTTTTATTCTGGATGATGACTTTAAGTCCACATTTATCTTCAACTGCTTGTCTGATGTCTTCAATGCTATAGTGAACAGGCAGTAGTGTCAACATCAAAAGTTGACTGTGGATCATGCCAGGACATTAGTCACACTGTAGAAACTGAAAAATTTACCAAACAGGGTATTATTACTACAAGTGGTGACCTTCAACACTGGTGGGGACGAGGCAGAGATAGAAGGATGTGATAAGGCAGAAGCCAGTCACAAGGAGTAGTATAGTATGTCTGTCTTATCACCAAGAAATTATAAAACGCTATCAGTCACTAAGTCTTGCATATCTGTTACCATGGCTTAAGCAATAACAAGAGTATAGATATATTTAGTTTCAGAACGGTTTTTTTACTAGATCCTGCCATTGGTCAGCCATTAAAAAATCCTACAAAGTTGTGTCTAAGTTATTCTTTATACAGTACTGTATATTTTACTAAGATGTGAAAGTTAGAGAATGAATTTTGATGCATGACTGACATTCACTGCACGACAGTTGTTGTTATACTGTTATTACTGCGCTTCAACAACTAAGGTGTTGTAGTAGGTCACGTTGTACATCTTGGGCGGCGGGGTCAAGCATTGCCGCTCAAGGTGTCGTGCAGCTTAACATCCTACAGGTCTTAAAAGTGCGTAACGAGATTAGTAATACACTGCAATAGTCTATCAATTAAAAATCATGAGATAGAGCACTCAATAGTAACACGGGAAGGTACAGTGAATCTTAATGGGAAAATTACTCTTTCTGGACATATTTTGGGGGAGGGGCCTTTGTTAACATCAGTATCAAAATACTGTACTTAGGTTTTATTAAGCCAAGTTATAAATTTTAGCAAATCTCTGATGGTGTGAATGTGTTCCCTTTCAATACGTATGTTCATCATGTATCACTCTCAAGACAATACAGTAACTTGTTTATTTCTGTTTCTTTTCAGTCCATAATTATGGTTTATGTTCCAATACAATTTGCTGGTTTTCATATTACAGTATCCCAAACTGTGCCAGAAACTTGTCAAATGTTAACGATGGCACCGCTTGACCCTTGACATTACACTTTAACACTCGGGCATTTTCTGGGAAGGAACATCCTCCACTGTCTTATGGAAGACAGATGAGTCTTTCATGGAAATTCCATTAATAAAACTTCATTTTCACAGCTGAGAAAACCTATATTTCTGGAACACAATCAGAATTTTTACTCACTTCCAATTGTTGGTTATTTCAGTACAATTAAAAAAAACCATTACTCTATGGTACAGTACATTATTTCCTGTGATATCTTGTTCCCATCAATTTAACTAAGGCTAATGGAAGTACAGACACTCCCCTGTTTATGGAAAGGTTCCGTTCCTGGATCCTATCCATAAGCCAAATTTTCTGTAAACCGAAAATGACCCTTCCATCTGGTAAATAATACCCTACCCTGTGCAGTACCAATCACAGATGCCATCTCACAAGGGGATGCGCTCAGTTGACTAATGTATAATCCTCCACAAATAGTGTTGCTACGCCGTACCAGTTACTTTCCGTAATAACAGAAACTCATGCACAACCCATTTTTTGTTTTAATGGGACTTATGGGGGGGGCATTCTGTATCCTCGAATTTCTATAAACCGAGTGTTCTGTAACCCAGGGAGTGTCTGTATTGTACTGTGATAATGGAAGAATGTTGGAATAAATATTTGTTCAATCTTGGTTTTTGTACTCCAAAGCCTTATCAGCTACCCAGAGAGATTAGAATGCCTAAAACTGCCTAGCTTAAACTACCGACAGGCATCTACTCAGTTGAATGTACAGTCAGCCAAAGATAATTTGGTCATAAGAAGTTTCCAAATGTTCTTATATTTGCTTAAATAATGAAGAAAATTTGATCTGAGAATCTTGTGGCAGTCCTCGTTCCTCGTTGTAGTTGAGTTGCCAATTCATTAATATAATTTCTTCATTATGCAAATATACGAACATTTGGAAACTTCTTATGACCCTAAATAATAATGAATAGTTTATTATTATAATAATTCTACCTTTGGATTGTTTAATATTTATCCTGACAGTGATACAGCCGAAAATAGATCCAACAATCACAATCACCTTTACATACAGCCTTACTTTACCTATTATTGCCAGGTAAAATTGCGAGCACGAGATCCAGGGTGGGGTCGGTGCATCTTTGGCTGAGTGTACATACCTGGAGCTGGCAGACGTCCACCCCACAAGGGGTCACAGCTCAAAGTAAAGGAAGCCTCAAGTCCAGAAAACTGTGAGGGCAAACTTTTTCCAGAATGAGAATTGTGAACTCTTGTTGTGGCGGCACCGAGTGTGAGCTCATTCAAGACCAGACTTGACCAACACTGGACCAGGTTCTGATATATTCAGGAGCCAGTGCATGCCCAGTACTTGCCAACAGTGCGTAAAAGAGACGTGACCGCCCTCCCAAGCGGCTAACAAGCCGATCAGTGACGAAGAGGATAAAACAAGTATGTTCACCGGTAATACAGTATTCCGAGGTGAACAGTTGTCCTGTGAAGGTCTTCTTTAGGTTATACTAAACAGCTGGTATGTAAAGGTCCTGGTCAGGCCACATTTGGTATTAGGCAGCTACCAAACAGGGAGGTACTACCGCCTGGGAAGATATTGGAAGCATAATGTGTTGTCTATGGTAGATCTTGCTGCCACATGGCATCACGAAAATTGTGACCGAGTCCCAGGTTGCTGATCTGACTTTCTGCCTCATTTACACACAATTGCAAGGTCTCAATTGTTTCTCTTACTATTTACAACACAACATACATATATTGTTTCTCACTTTTGATTTTTTTTTCATTTTGTATTTCTTTGTGGTTCTTTATTATTATTATTATTATTATTATTATTATTATTATTATTATTATTATTATTATTATTATTATTTCGCCCCCCAGGCCCCGATGTGGGTCAGTGACCTGTGCCTGGGTGGGCTAATTCCCGTTAAAAAAAAATGTACAGTACAAGTCACACTAATCATTTACTGTAATAACCAACGATCGCATCTCTTTCAACAGCGGAGGAGATGGACATGGTGCCAGATAACAGCGTTGATGTGGTGGTGAGCACACTCGTCTTTTGCTCTGTCGGCAACACTGAAAAGATCCTTCAGCAAATACTTCGTGTACTGACGCCGGTGAGTAAAGTTCCACTAAAATCCTACACAAATTGTCCCGGTGCTTCTGTTAACCTAAAATGACAGCTACTAACTTAACCATGGTCTTTGTTAAGTAAAAGGGAAATCTCGAGCAACCAGCACAAACGTTTGTTATTAATTTCTTGGTAAATTTTTACTTTCGGACACGAGTCCCTAGGGGTTGACCAATATCTTTTTCCAGTGCATTTTGGTGTGTTTTAAACAAATCTGACCTTCATTTTTGGCGGAAATTGCTAGTTTTTGCCCCCCAACAATAATGGGGGTCTGGGAAATCGGGGTTTTTGGGATGGGAGAGAAAACGAAAACGAGTCAGGTGAGCTAACAAAACATAGCCTAATTAACCTAACTCCTAGCCGGGGGGCTCTGTCCCTGTACCCCCGGTAGACGGCCCTAACCTAACCCCTAGCCAGGGGCTCCACCCCCAGTAGACCTAGCTTAAACTAACTTAAATGTTTCAGTAGTTAAAACTTTGTGGCGCGCCATGTTCGAAAGTCGTCTACGTTCTCGCAAAACTCGGCAATACAATTAAAATAATCGTAGGAGCACAAACGACAACCAACTTCCACCGCTGCCATTGTGAAACTGGTCAATGAAATTAAAATTGTACCCAGTCAACATTGCGCATGTGTGATGCGCAGATAACATCTCGCAGACGAAGACTGAAAACTACTTAAATCAATTAAATTCAATTGTGTCGCTAGTATTATCCATTTCCGCCATGTATATATGGGGGTTCAAAATGCTCAGAATAGCGACATCTAAATGTTTCAGTAGTTTATAACTTTCGGAGGAGCTATGTCCGAAAGTAAAATAATACCAATTTCTTTTATGACTAGTTAAAAAACTGAACATACTGCACTTATGTGTTATAAGTAACATAACAAACCTTAATTTACCCAAACAAAATAACTGGTATGAAGTTAGGAAAATAGTGAACAAGGGCTAACTGTGGAAGGTTATCACTACAGTACTTACCAGGAGAGAAGAGTAACAGCTTTCACTAGTAGTCAGACATGTGGGACCATTGTCAAACACCAGAACATTTGAGCAGAATGACATCATCAGTTCTGTCTTCAATGCTCTGCAAAATTGGTTTCCTGTGTCCAGGGTTGATATTTGCATCAGCTGACAGTCCTGTGGGTAATACAAACGTGTATAAAAGCATTAGCACACTGCTGGACCTGTTTGTTATTTACAACAAGTCATACTGGGAAAAATAGGTGTGCCATATTCAAGCAATATACTAAAGCTTCAGCATGAAGGGTTGACTGTGCCACTGACATAGATGATAAACTCATGAGGTCCTCTTTCTCTACTTGTCCTCTTCTTCTGCTTTACAGAACCGAAACTAGAGAGAGTATTTTTGGTGTGAAAGGATGCAGTAAAACTCATTTGGGTGCCACTGTACTTGTGCAGTTAGAAAGGTTATATCAACATAAACAACGAGACAGACATGGTTCAGTCAAATGATGAAAAGTTTTTCCCCTAAAGTGCAATGTACAGTACTGGTCTTAAATGTGAGCAAATTATGAGTCTCCGGTCATTCTTATTACTAAATTTAGCTTTGTGACGATGTATGACAGCCAAGCTCAAGAAAAGCTCAACCAATCTCTACTGACTTCAGACCATCAGTTTGGAAGTTAGAGGCTTGGAAATGATAAGCAAAATAAATTTAATGTGAAGCAGGAATATTATTGCTCTACTTTTTCAGTGGTTAAAACTATTTGCCAAAATTTACTTAAGCAACTATGAACTCTAACTTAACATAAACCTGGAGAACAAACTTGTGATTTCAAAGTTTCAGACAAACAGGTGAGTCTTAAAACAAAACTGCACGAAGGTTACCCCAACCAATTATGCTGCCAGGAACAAGTTATACCCTTTATAAAATATACTATACCACTACTCTAAACAGCATATATTTAAGATAAAGGTTTACATCAGTGTATTCCTTACAAAAAACATAATAATTATTGGTGAGGAAACAACAATAAGGAGCAGCATCTCAAGGAAGAGCACCTGCCTAGGCTTGCATTGCAGTGTGGCATTTTAATATCAGTCAGCAGGATATTTATGCTGCTGTTGACAATGTTGTAGTTTCAAGTATAATGTTGTAGTAAGTAGAATAAATCCACTAAGTGCTCAATTCTAGTGTTCATAACAGTAGTGTATCAACAACAAAATTCACATCCTGGGCCTCTACCCTGAAAGTACACAGTTATAAGTGTATAATTATCTCCTCTGTGACATAGTGATAGATATTTAGCGCCAGAGTAAAAAAATATGATATTCATAAGGCAAAATTTAATGATGCCAACAGAAGAGATTTAAAACCCCCTAGGAGATAATAACAGAAATATTAATAATCATAATTATTTAAGGGTAGGATGGTCAGGGATAGGCAGAGACTAGGATGGATTAAAGAAATTAAAAACTGGGTCCCTAGAGATACAAAATCTTGGAGGATTGGTAAGAATATCCCCCAAAACGTTTAGAGTAGAGGACTGTGATCACCAGCCATGGTATGGGGACGGTGCTCTGATTGATTGATTGAGCTGTTAGTCCATGATATTGTTAAGTGCCCGACCAGTATACAGCACACCCACAGCGTTCAGATTGAGGGAAGTTAAATAAAATTAATTTTTAGTTTTTCCTCTCTAATTACTCAACAGTACAGTACATTCATTTAGTGAGCATTAGCATATGTAAAGATAATGAGTTATCCACTCTACTATGCACTGACACTCCACTAAGATATGGACCACTGACCTTTTTTTTATGCTAAATGTGATAGTTAATGGTAATTACTATAAACTGTACAGTACTGATATTCACACAAATATTTTTTTCCCTTTGCTTCACTTAAGGTACTGTAATGTCCTTCTAAATTCAAGGTGTCTTATACACCAACAAATGTAGTAATTCAAATGATACTTCAAAAAGGTCATACAGTAATTCATTGTTTAATTAACTGGTAATTAAAGGCAATTGTAAGACTTGTTAATGTATGCAAATAAACAAAGATAATAACCAAGTAATTATTCTAGAGAGGAGGAAGCTTCTACATAATCAAAATATAAACCTTTATCCCCAGGGAGGAAAATTCATCTTCTTCGAGCACATCCGAGAGTTTGACACAGAACGTCACGGTATGAGGAGGAAGATACAAGGATTTCTTACAGCAACAGGCATCTGGCCTTTCTTGTTTGATGGCTGCTATCTGACACGAGACATGCTGGAGACCATCCAGAAAGCAGGTTTCTCTAAGGTGCAGGCCCAACGTTTCTACAACCCCATCGACCATATCGTCTTTCAGCTGGTCACCCCAAGCCTCAAGGGTGTGGCTGAGAAGTAACACAGAAAAGCCTTTCTCTTTATACAGATTTCTTGGAGATAAAGTGTGACATAAAACTAAGTACAGTACTGTAGTTACTTAAAGATAACAGATGAAGGGAGAGAGAAGAAAATTAGAGAGTGACAGATAGAAATGAGTATATAGAGAGAGAGAGAGACGAGACCAAATAAAATGAGACAAAAAAAGTTACAGATATGCAGCAAGTCTTAAAGCGAGACAAAATATTCCATTATAAGATTCCATAACTTAAGCCATAGTTTCATATCCGGCAATACTTGATTTGTATCTCGTTCAAGTATTGTAGGAACAGATCGATGGCTAACCCAAGCAAGCGTGGGAGATGACCATAAAACGTTAAGTGTTGATAATGTAAGCTCTGGAATGCATCCTGCTAATTTGTTTTAACATGAGAGTAAATATATTACTCCATTCATACCATTAACTATGGGTAACAATTTCTCTACATTATTGTGGTTGGCTAATATTTGTTGTTATAACTATCACAGTACAATAAATAAATGTAACTGAACTAATGGTAGTATAAATTACACTTTCATACACTATAAAACTCTTATGTACTGTAGTTATATTGGGGTATTGCTTGTCAGGGTATATGGTAAATTAGTAAGTTGTAGTGTGTGGGGCAGTGTTGTTATGTGAACAGTAGATTTTAGGTGAATTGGATAGTGTATTGTGTTGACACTGGTTGAAGGTGGTAACCACAACTCTCTCTGATGTCTGGATTTATTAAAAAAAAAATTAGCGGGGATTAGCCCATCCGGGCACAGGTCACTGACCCACATTGGGGTGTGGGGGTGAAAATATAATAATAATAAAAATAATAATACAAATTAATAGAATTATAAAAATAAATATAAATGCAATAATACAAATAATAATAATAATAATAAAGAACCGTAAATAATTAAAAACATTAAAAAGAGAAAAAGGTCAAGAGTGAGAAACGATATACAGCATATATGTTGTTGGCAACTTGTCAATAGTAAGAGAAACAATTGAGACCCTGCATTTTTTTTACAGGGATTAGCCCACCCGGGCACAGGTCACTGACCCACATCGGGCCTGGGGGATGTGATAATAATTGGTTCATAGTAAATAAAATTTATAATAAAAAATACAGAATTAAAATAAAATAATAATATTACTAATAATAACAACACAGATAATAATAATAAAAATATTAATCATAATCATAATAATATTATTATTATCATTATTACCATTATTAATAAAGAACCACAAAGAAATACATAAATTAAACAAAATCAATAGTGAGAAACAATATATGTATGTTGTGTCAATAGTAAGAGAAACAATTGAGACTGCAATTGTGTGTAAATGAGGCAGAAAGTCAGATCAGCAACCTGGGACTTGGTCACAATTTTCGTGATGCCATATGGCAGCAGGGTCTACCATTAGACAATGCATTATGCTTCCAATATCGTCCCAGGCGGCAGTACCTCCCTGTTTGGTAGCTGCCTGCTACCTATAGATGGCAGTGTGTTCAGTACAGTGTGCTGTTTGGGAGGAATCCTTGGATGGGGGAGGTTCCTAAGTTGTTGTTGTGTGTTTGTATATGGTTGTATTGGGAGATAAGGGTGGACAATGCTGAGTGTGTAAGGGTACTGTACAACTGTAATCCTTTTTTTCACATGTGTGGCGTTCAAGAATATTTACAAATAACCTTTATTAAGAAGTCTATATAATTACAGGGACCTAATACTAAAGGAACAACCACCTACCATTTATGTGCATGTTTTCTTAAAGACTGATTGTGCACGTGATCCACCATTCATAAGATGAATTAACGGGGTGGGGGGACTGAACTTTCCCAGAGAGGAACACTGCCTCGAAATCATTTGTATTTCGATAGCTCAGATAATTATTTGACGTTATTTTAGATAATAACAGGTCTACTTACCAATTGTGAACACATTTAGTTTGAATTTTCTATGAACCAATCAGCTACAGAATATTAGCAAAGACTATAATAAGAAAGACAGGAAAGCAAGGCGAAAACCGCGTAAGCCACATAGCATATAGTTGGGCGCGGGATCAACAGATGGCGTTTGTGCGCGAGGAGACCACCTGTGTGTCGTATGCACACGTAATGTACAAAAACAGATCACCCTGAATTTGTGTTTAACGGTTTCACGTTGTTATATATCATTGATCATATAGAATTTACTGTGTGATATTTGTATGTGTGTGTGTATGCGTACACTTTAAGAACGTCAAGGCAAAGACGTCAAGATAATAATATTACCTTCACGTTCTTAATGTGTACACATGCACACACACACATACACATACAATATCACACAGTAAATTCTATACGATCAATGACATATAACAACGTGAAAGCGATAAGCACAAGCGAACTCCGCTGGTTACCATGGAACGCTACCCTCACGCGATTTAAGCTTTTAGTTAGCCACGTTGCCAACAGGTGACGTTGATAGAGCTCAGTGGCTCAAGGTTTTTTTTAATCGGTAAAGATAGACGCTTTCCTGTCTTTCTTATTATAGTCTTTGGTATTAGTATAGAAAAGGGGCGTGGCTTACGGGCCTGATTAACGTGAAATACTTTTTTATAGTCACCACGCTTGGAATTAAAAATCTAGATTCTAGATTCATCAAGAGGTTCACCTCTGGTTGAGGTACTGTACGCATTGTGAAGTCTGACTTATTCAGTGATTAAATGCCCAGCTATGGTCTCTGATAGCTGAATATGATAGTTTAGACCAGGGGTTTTCAACCTGGGTACATCTAACCAAAGGATACGTGTTTATCTTCTCAGCATCATACATGCAATGTGTAGGTATACATTATTCATATAATGTTTAAAAGCTTTTTTTTTCCTATAATGTCGTTTTACCTTCAAACTTGGTGAAGCAGACGAGTCCTCCAAACTGATTGCTTTACCATTACAATGTGTAAAAAACAATTATACAAGTGGAGAAGTTGAGATACAGTAATAGCTTTCATAATTTATATCCTCTCCCCTTCCAAGTACTCCAGATTGAAGTGTATACCGGCATAGTTTATATACATGCTGTAAATCTGTATGGCAATTTTACTGAATAATAATTATTAATTATTATTGTTAGTGTTATTATTAGTGTGTGTTATTTTATAAGGTTCAATGAGAAAGTCAGTTAACAAAAATTCTGCTCGTGTTACAATATTTTAATAAGCTGTTTCCCTGATTGCCTATTGCATAATGCTACTGAAAAGTTTTGGGCACTTTCATACTTCTAACACGAGTTGTTTGACATGCGATGTTCGTGGCCCCTCTCCCTATTCGCACATCCTTTGAATAACGCCGAGTAAGAGACCAATTTTTAACAGTTGAATGAATTCCCAGATCTGCTTCCTGTCCGGGCTAAATTGTGCAATTTCCCTTTGCCTGGATTAAGCACGCCCGGCTATATTACCTAGCGAATCACTCGAAACGTCAAATATTCAGTGGTTGCTATTTTGAACCTCTAGTACCAGAATCCATAAAATTATTTTCCTTCTGACGCCAAACTGCGTATTAAAGTAAAATTAAATATTGCAGAAATAAAACGGATATATTATACGCATACAAAACTGAAGACGAGTAAGTACAGCGCAAGTAAGCGGCTTAAAAATTCGAAATAATTTTATTTAAATTCGATGATATTGAGAAACGGGAACATGGAATTTTATAGATGATTAGGTAATGTTCTGAGATGTTGGCAAGTATAATGTACAGTAGGTCTCATCATCCACAGTACAGGCTCTGTACAAGACTCTCGAAGCTCAACAAAAACAAATTGAAGGCTATAGTACGTCTCGTAAATTCTTAAACGAAGTTATGGTACAAGACCTTTGCACTTTGGCTACAGTATTTGGAAATTAATATAATTAATTTAATGTATTACTTTTCAGTAAAACGAATCCGGTGTCAAAAATTTAGAAACGAGTGTTTCACAGTTCGACGATATTCAGATGAAGTTGAGTAACTATATCACCAGATATATCCGTCGCTGCCAGTAATCTAAATGTTTCCCAATATTTAATAACTTGTATTAAGTGCATAGTTATATTAATTTTACTGAGCTTCCTTTATATTATTTTGTGTTACGTTTTTAACATAAGTTTCCCAAATATACAAATTCAAGGAATCAGTCAAGGGTTATTCTTACGAGGCTTTTAAATAGCGGCTGTTGGACTAGAACGAAAGCTATTTATTAGAGACAATATTAGCTCACCAGCCCTAACCCAACTTACTTAGTCTAACTTTGAGTAGGCAGGATATATTTGGGTAAAGATTCCATTTATATGTTTTAATAGTTTGGTCTTGCTAAAATAAGTACAGTAGTTATTGTTTATGTGGAGCTGCTACTGCATGTTCAGCGTGGAGGCCATGCATCCTCGTTACTCCCTTATTAAATTCAAACTGTACAGATTAACATATACGCGACATATTTTGTAGAAACAAGCCACCTAGTTACCTAAAGTTAATACACTCTTACCTTACTCTAGCAGACACAGAGCTGCGCAGTCTGCACTGGCAACAAAACACTTGTGCTAGCTTAGAACTGTTCACCGTCACCCCTGGCCATGATGTTCGTCTGTGCTATCAGAACCTGTAGTGTAGATGTGTCTCCTCAAGTTTTGCCACAAGTTTCTAACAACCAATTTGTATTATAGCAGATACTTGCCTCGATATCTTGGTCAACAAAATTACGGTAATGATAAGAAATATATTGAATCAGCCGTCGAAAATTGATAAAGTAATGTTTCAAAATATGACGACCAAGTCGACCAACTGTTACAGTTTTTCTTGGCAGTTCAATTCCCCAATTAAATAGTCGCCACTGATAATATTTTTTCGATGTAATAATTTATTTAAGTACATAATCCTAATTATTTGTTTGTTTCTTTTATTTCATTAACTACTAAAAAAAATTTCCCACAATAAATTATAAAAAAGAACCATTTGTTGTTGTCTGGGCTGTTGATGTTAGACCATTTATCTAATAGATATGGGATGTGTGGTTCGTTTTGCTTGTTCTAGTGGTTCGGTTTTACGAGATCAATCATCATAATAAATAAATTTCCTATTGTAATACATAAGATACGATCAGAAAATAAACTTACCACATTCATAAGTAGTTTCATAGGGGCATGATATCATTCCTTCACAAGCGACCAGCGTTACTTTCACAGCTAACCCTGTTGGTTTCTACTCTAGGCGGGGGACGCATTATTATATCGGTTTAGTTAGTCCTATTGCTCCTTGGACGATGCTGATAGAAAATGGACACGTGCTGAGATCTGAATGGGAGACTTGGTAAAATATTAATGTCGGTTACCCCGGGAATCTTAGAAATTTTATATTTGCAATCAATAGTTAGGCAATTCTAAGACATTTTTCTTCAATAACGTTTCCCTCGCAAATGACCTAACCTAACCCCTAACTGGGGGGAATATATATATATACAGTATCACCACTAATCAGCTTAATAGCAGTTCGGGTTGCTGGTCTAAAAATTAGTCTTTGTTAAAATTTTATGAACTTCATTATCCAGTGTTAGTACAGGAGGAAACCAGAGTACCTGGAGAAATCCAGTGATGTTTGGGAATGTCGTACTGGATAACACTCTTCTCTTATCTGGCCTGGGACTTAAACCAAACGAACTATGAAGAGCTACAGAATGATCTTTGTCATGAAATTCACAAGGATGCACCTCAGTCATACCAACACTAGGGAGGCATATCACATGTCCCAATGGGACGAAGAAACAGCATTAACGGAGACCAAATTTGAAAAGGACCTTTGTGAGAAGGTGAGTCAAGCAACTAAGCAAGTGGTTCTTATAAGAGCATTCAGATACCTAGGTAATACGTCTCTCGCAACATTCTTCAAAAGTGAGGTTTTTCCGTTTGTGGTCGCCAAGATAGGCTAGAGATTGTCAGTTGATTGAAATCATCCAACGCAGAGTCACCAGACTGATGATTGCACTATGGCACCTTAGTTACCTTGAGAGATTAGAACACCTGCAATTGCCTAGATTATGCTATACTGTATGTGGGGTGGGTAAGGGGTGATTTAATAGAGGTTTATAAACACCTCAGAGGATATTATTCAATCAAGTGTTCATACCTAGAACTGACAGATACCTTCCCTACTAGAGGTCCTAGCTTATGATTGAAATTGCACAAGTTTAGAAAATTGTAAGGGCACATTTTTTTTCGGAATGAGTTGTAAACTCTTGGAACAATCTGCTAAGGAGAGTTGTGACAGCACCGAGTATTAGCTCATTGAAGACCAGAATTGACCTATATTGGCGCAGGTTCAGATACATCCTGGAACCAGTACATGCTTAGGACGTGCCCGAGCGACGAACAGGCCGATCAATGGCAAAGAGGATAATGTATAAAGAGAAGGCCGTAAAGAACTACATACTGTATATGAGAACTGTTAACATTGATGTCAGCATTACTTGAACTAAATCTAAATTGACAATCAGGAAGATTTCATAAAAGCACTCAACAATGTGGAAAAGATCCATCACAACTCACACAGATGAGAGGAAATATCAGATAGTGCCATGTACAGTATTTAGAAATTATTGTTGCTTGATGTAAAATGAAAATATACAAGGTGTGTCGTACAGCAATGTATAAGTAATTTCATTTGGTTTTTCTAGAAGTCAGGAGACATGGAAGCAAAATGAAACTCCATTCTTCCATGTTATTTATTAATGACAAAACACATATACACTATTGAAATGCTCTTAATTATAGACTTAAAACTATAAAAAATAGTTGTTTTGCATTCAACGAGGGGTTCAGGGGGGTCAAAAATACTGCCGTAAATAATTCAATTCAGTTATCACACTATTCTATTTCTGAACTAAGACTGAGAAGCGACGCATCCATACCTATATCTTCTTTATCTCTAACACAATTCTCCATTTTTATCAACATCCAGTAACCTCTTTCTCACTCCAATGACCAATATTTTGTTCCTCGGTAGATACACATTGTAAAAAAAAATCTACAATCACTGTCATACTCTGATCTGGTTGTTACATATTTATGATGCACCATGCAACATGATCATATACAGTACATAGTTCAATCCTCCAATACAATCAGATACACCCTTCTACTCTCCAGCACAATCAAACATGTTCTTCAACCCTCCAACAGACATTTTTTTTTACTGGGATTAGCCCACCCAGGCACAGGTCACTGACCCACATCGGGTCCTGGGGGCGAAAATGTAATAGTAATAGTAGTAATAATAATAATAATAATAATAATAATAATAATAATAATAATAATAATAATAATAATAATAATAATCATAATCATAATAATAATAATAATAATAATAATAATTCATAATACTGTATATGTATATATATACTGTATATATATATATATATATATATATATATATATATATATATATATATATATATATATATATATATATATATATAAATAATAAAACAATTATGATAACAATCATAATAATAATAATAATAATAATAAAGACACAAAAAAAAGATCAAGAGTGAGAAACAATATATGTATGTTGTGTTGTCAATAGAAAGAGAAACAATTGAGACCCTGCAATTGTGTGTAAATGAGGCAGAAAGTCAGATCAGCAACCTGGGACTTGGTCAAAGCTTTTGTGATGCCATATTGCCATATGGCAGCAGGGTCTACCATTAGACAATACATTATGCTTACAATATCTTCCCAGGCGATAGTACGTCTCTGTTTGGTAGCTGCCTGCTTCCTGTAGTACATCTTTCAACCCTCAAATACCATCATAAACTTTCTCCAACACAATCATATATACAGTAAGTCTTACAATCCTCCAACACCTTCAAAAACATTCTCCAACCATCCAATACTTATGCAACTATCAATTGTTCATCAACTCACAGTACAGCTGTAATACGCTAACCATCATTCATACACATCCAACAACTTTAAGACTCCCTCCAGGTTTTCATCCACCATACTGTACATCTATCAGATATCATACACACCTACCACCAAACACAATATACGGTATACTGTATGCATGACATACTGTAGATGCCTTTCTTTGATCCCATCTTGCGGACCTTCCAACCCTTCATGAGTATAAGTAATTTGGGTCAAATAGTGTTATGAAAGATGCCTCATTGAGTGAATGGTGGATGTTGCAGATTTTTGTTCTGAGATTCATAAGCAAACTTAACTGATATTCCCTTGCAACTCCTCACATGAGCAGACAGTCACAATGGCCAACCTTTGCCTTGACTATTACAGATCCCTACCCTGTGCTGACCTTGCATGACCTGCCCCACCATGATGAATAGGTTAACATTATGGCATAGCTGGTAGGGGGGGTGAATGTCACCCCTGATTGGAAAAATAAGTACTGTAGCTGGACCAGTTGAAAAAAAAATATGACAGTAAAGGAGAGACAGCGAGAGATGTGGACATGTATTCCCATGAGAACCATTTTCTAATAAAATTTTTTGCAATACCAGTGGCATATTGCAAGAACCAGTACTTTAATACTTTATTATATGGCTTAGCTTGCCCCTCTGCAACCAAAGTTGTAGTCCCCCCCCCCCCGAAAAAGACAACACTATGCTTGTTAATCTCACATGCACTCTCCCACCATACAACTATGCAAACACCCTCAGTGTTCACTGTTGATCTCGCATAATGTAGGTGGTGACAGTGGCCTCTTTGATGTTAGGTGACGTTGGTCTGTTGACTGTGATACTAATAACACCTGTGGAAAATGATGTTAATCTTACTCATAGTCAGGTCCGCCTTATACCAAGGTGATGGACCTTATGGCAGGGGGAGGGGGATCACTGGAACCTCTTCCATCTTGAACTGTCAGACCAAAATGAATCAGAAATTAACATGTCTCAATTATGAATAAGTACTGTAATCATGTCATCCTAGTAAATGAACTAAGAATATTCTTGATTGTATTTTGTGATGAACAGTATATAAGTATGACCTAGTCGGTCTGAGGCTCACTATGACTCGGGCCTATATGACTGGCAGCCCTCAACCTTGTATCAATATGTACAGTACTGTTTCAAACTTAAAACAATGAAATTTTCAAACATTTGGATGGGATGGTTCACAAACCTCTCTTAACATTATGGTTTTAATGAGAAAAAAAAATATATATATACAGTGCTGGACACTAACAATTTCTGCTCATCCAATATAAGTACCCGGTACTGTACTGTATAGTACTGCATTTTGTTTAGGGTAGGTAATAAATAATCGCCTTGTTGAGAAAACACCGTTAAGATTATTATATAAATAAACCCTTAAAATATGAGACATAACTTTAATATACAATGTAACTTGAGTGATTCTCAATATGCTATGAGAAGTCTTAACCAAGGAGTCACTGTTGGTTGGTTGGTGAAGTGTATGAGGTCGGTGATTGGCTCTGGGATGTTGACACTGGGTAGATATATCAAACAAACTAGTCACTCACCTGATGGAGGAGTAGCAGTGGATGGAACTGTACTTCCCAGTGTTCAGTCTCTGATGTGGTGAAGGTGACACTGGGTGAGGAAACCTACTGGATCAGTTCCTTGGCCCTTATAGTCTCTTATGTATAGTTAGTCTCCAGCACCACGGACACACATGAACATACATATACTGATATAAAAACACATAGTATACATGCATATGTACACACTACCCAATTACACAAACAAATACATATCTACATATTGCATATATTGTTCTAATTAATTATAGGTGCACTTTCTTACAAATGTGTCAGAATATCTGGGTTACATCCACAGTCTTACATAATTACTGTACTGTAAGTTTATCTTCATCTACAGTCTTAATACATCGCCATAAAGTACTATATTGAGATTCTCTTATATTCTGTAGTGTAATACCTTAAAGTTAACCATTAAATCTTTGTGGGGCATTGTAAGTTTCTCTTGGGCAATTATGATACAGACTTACAGATTTACGAAAATAGCATAAGTGTGGTATTACAATATATACAATTCAATTCCTTCCAAAGAAATTACTTACTTACTGTTGCACACAATTTCATATAGGATAGATATTGCAGTCTGGAATGTAAGGTACAGGACATATTTACAAAAGAATAATCAGGTACAAGAAACAAAACTGAATACAATACAGTAAATACTTCAGCCAAAATTAATTTTTGGTTGTAGTAATGTCATTAAGAGCAACGCCAAGTTAGCAGCAACACCCAAACATGTGAGGTATTCATATCCATTATTTCTTGCTCATGTTTGGAAAATTTCCTTTGATTTTTTGGTTGTACATTTTTCGGCACTTCATTACAGTATAGTGTCTTCTTACTCACTTCCTAAATAGCAAAATTGCATGACATTTTCTAGGTGTACATTTTGCACATGTATTTGTAAGGTCACATAGCTATGAAGAGTTCAGCAAAACATTAAAGAATCTATTAACCACTGAACTTCAAACACCTTCATACGTTGCACTTAAGATTTATGTACAGTCTTACTGAGTGTGTCAAGCCAATAGTACACAGGAAATATAAACTAGCAAATTAATTAATCGAGATTGACACATTCTCAATTCACCGGTTGTGGAAATGCTAGTTTCTTGGACAAACTCTCCCTTCCCTGTCATTGATAAAACTGTCTTCAGTTACAGTAATGCTCCTCACGAGAGACCTGACACTTTTCACACTGCACTTTGCAACACCAGATGAATCTACAATTGCACTTCTCTGTCACTTCCCTAACCATTGTTTGGTACCCACGGCCACAACACAAGATCCTGCAACCATCCATGCCCCAACTGGTCTTGTTGCACAGACGTCCCTCAGTCCCCAGTACACCAAGGCTGTGGAGGAAGTTATTAGTTATCTTACAGTGGCACTTATAATACATGTACGTCTGACCACTGTGAGTCATTTAACAAAAATATAAATTTAAAATGGAACACCACCATAAATGCACTGGACAGCTGATTGGTTGACCTATAATTATTTTAGTTCAGACAACAATGCTGAATACACCAGATGGAACAAAGCTTGGACAGAGTTTTGAAAGATCCCAAATTTCCCTGTGGAACTTTTCTAAGGAAAGGTATAATGGGAGAAATAATGCTTCCAATGGGAAGAAAAAACATAATAACGTGGGAAAAATAGTGTAAATGAACTCTTCAGGGCAGAAAATTAATCTGAAACAACAGCCCAAAAAATAGAAAGCATAATATTTGGTATTTACTTTTCTAACCCCAAATCTAGAAAAATAAAAATTGAACTACTTTCAGATATAGGACACAATGTACTGTACAGTTTATTGCTTCTCATTAAACTACATTTGCCATTTTTCCTGATAAGTGCCCAGAGATATATTTACTCACTCCTGATTCCGGGTGCAATAATCGGGAGACTCTTCCAAATAGAGAAGATCGCGTCTGGTGGGTCGTTTGAAGCCCCTCTTCAGTGGCCGGAGTTTCTTCCTCTTCCCCTTCTTGACAAACCTGTTGATGTGAAAGAATGTCAGTACTGTACAAGGAAAGGAAGTATTATACACGGAAAAGACGCCTTTAAAACTCTTTATCATGATACAGGTAATGATATAAAAATTAATAAAGGATATTTGACACTGATGGGATTTATGAATTAGGGACTACAGTGAACCCTCGCCCAACACTGGCTAGTCCAACGTGATTTTGACTATATGCGTTTAAATATATGTGACCAAATAATTTGCCCAACACGCCGCCTCGCACCATGCACCAGTTGGAGGTGCCCGCCAGTCTCGTCTCGCTTATGTGCTCATACCATCAACATTGTATTAAAGCGATTTTGGAACTTTTTGTGTTTTAGCATTGCTTTGTGTGTTTGCCCTTACAGTATGGCCCCCAAATGCAGAGGTGATGCTAGTGATGGCAGCACACCCAAGAAATGTAGAAAAGTGATGACATTACCTGAGAAAATAAAGATTTTAGATCGGCTATGTGGTGGAGTGCATATAGCAACACTTGCCCGTGAGAACTCTGTAAATAAATCCACCATACGCACAATTCGTAGTATCATCATCATCGAAGTCTTCTTCATCAATCACCGTCAAGAGAAGGCTTCACAACATCTACGGTATGTTCGTCATCATAGTTACACCACAAACATCTAACCATGGGTTGGTGAGCGCAGTAATACAATATTATAATGCCGATCATTAATATTTTTATTTTTTATGGTATGATAGTTCTATTATTATCATCATATTTGTGCATTATGTAAATATTTAAAAGTTATGCATTTCATGTGAGAATAGTCCATTAGCGGCCATAAGAAGTTAAGTTTGCCCAACGCGATTTTGCCCAACAGCCGTTTTCGAGGAACCTAACCCCCGATTTGGGCGAGGGTTCACTGTATAACAAATCGACAAGGTTAACAGTTTGTCTTGTATCTCTCCTCACATAACAGACAGGCCAATGTAGTCACAAGAATAAAAGTCGTTAGATAAGCTTAAACCAAGTCTGCCTTAATTTCATTTATAATGTGTGAAATAATAAACATGTATTGGTATGAATAAACCTAATAAAAGCCTATAATAGGAAGTCTATCTGAAACACTCACATTGAAATAAAACAACTTTGAAGCCAGCCACCAATCTGGCACTCAGGCATCAAGGAAGGAGTGATGTCACGGGACCGGTGAGGAGGAGCCCTGTCCTGTTGGAATATGAGGTTCAGTTGGCAGTCCTCTTCTTACCGTGCCACAAACAGCTAAAGCATCTCTAAGTACGCGTGGCCTGTCACAGATTTTTGCTCAAAGAAAAATGGCCTGACAATTCTTTTACGCATAAGACCACTGCAATCGTTAACTTTGAGATTGTTTCTTTCGACCTCTTGTGTGACAAGTGGATTCTCTGCTCTCCAAATGTGACAACTGTGTCTATCAACATACCCACATGTGTGAAATGTTGCTTCGTCAGAGAACATGACCCAGTTCAGGTACTCAGGGTTGTTGTCCAGACTGTGGAGCATGTGCATGGTACAATTTCTCCTTTTGACATGATCATCCACTATGAGCTGCTAAACCAGTTGAAGCTTATATGCATAGAGCTGCAGCCACGTGCACACGACTTTATCCACAGTTGAACGTGGAATTTGCAGTTCGGTACTGGCACGGCAGATGGACTTCCTTGGGCTTCTGTGGCAGGCAGCAGGTATGCATTCAACATCCTCCTCTGATCTTCTGGGCTTTCCTCCACCATGCTATTTAGAACACTGCCAGTCTCCTCAAATTGCTTCATCCATGCGTAGTCTTCAAATCGGTGGTTTCTTGCCAAAAGTTGTACGAAATCGTTGTTGTACCACGGTAGGTGACTTTAGTTGGGCCATCCACAATGCACATTTCACCTTCTCTTGTGGGTCACCATAATTTAATCAGAAACACCCCAAAAAATTAAGTACAGAAACTTTGATATATGATGTGGTAACTATGCAAGGTTCAACATCCTCACATTTGTACATGAACATTATAAGGCTTCAAAGTTGTTTCATTTAAATTTGACACCCTGTACAACCAGCATTATTAAAAAAGGTTTAAAAGGCAAATATAAACAATTGTAAATATGAACTTAACAAAAATTATAATCAATTCATTCTGCACCGGAGATCAAAAAATAGCTCCCCCAGCAGCTGTAAAGAACAAAGAATATAATATGTAAGCAGAATATAGGATTTCACTGGAACACACAGGCTAATCTGATGGTGACAGTCTAGGTGACCCCAACAAATGGACGACAGAATTTACTTCAACTGTATAAGTAATTTAAATTGTTAGTTCTGTGTGTTCCTTTCTGGTTCTGTAATAAGTTCAGTTACAGTATACTCATGGTTCATAACCTGGGGTATAACCTGTTGAAACACTGCTCAGCTGCATGTGTGTACTTGTTGCTAGTCATTCATAGCTCCAGTCATGTCTCTTAAAGCATTGCAGGATAAATTCCTAACATGTCAAAGATTGGAAACTTCTCTACAGGATATAAGGCACCAAAAACGAACTCCTAAACAATGACAAAGAGATTGTTACCTGACAATGGATGCCCCCTCAAAGCGTTGCAGAAGAGAGTCACCAATGTTCCTGAAGGCGGCCATCCTCCGCCAGCAGACTCGCATGGAGCACGACCCAGAGACTCCGTGACATTTGCACACAAGCTCCATCTCAGATCTGATGGCCTAAGGGAGACAATACAGGTAGGTTTGTTTACACTCTTACACAACGCGCACTGTGCGAGCTGACCACGACAGACTAGAAATTCTTCACTGTATCACCGGGATGTTACCCAAACAATTGTGTTCTGATGTATCACCTCCAGTATCTTACAAAGTCCACAAATAGCAAGACAGGTTTATTCACGTGTATTTCTAGTGTTAGAGTAATTCACAAAGCATAAGTACTGTACTATACAGTATGCAGTACATACTAAAACAACAGACCAAATAGGTTATTTTCAACGAAACTACTGTACATGCACTACTAGTCATCTTACCAAACATTCCTTATTTCATTTTTGCGATGCCTTAATGAGTATCACTAATAGAACATCAACAGTAAGTTCAGTAAAAATATATGTCAACATCGACCCAAGACTGGATACAGCAAGGTTTCCCTTTTTTTCCATCAGTCTTCCATTTTCTTACGACTCTTCATGTTCATCAAGCCACACCTGATTTTGGACGGTTTTGGTGCAGGCTGACTCATTAACCACCAGATAATAGATAGATAAATAGATAAACAAAAAAGTCAGACATGTAGACATACAGACAGAAATACAGTTAGATAGACAGACAGAGAGGTAGTTAGAGAAAGAAAATCCTGTTAAGTAAACAAGTTCACGTTAGTTACAGTGGCAACGCACGTATCTCTTATACTGTACTACTGTCTTGAGACATGTGTGAGAAGGTTGTTATGCAGCGTGACACTACTAAATATCGCAGGTTTTCTCCAATACTCTGGTTTCCTCCTGCAATAATACTAGACAATAAAGGAGTCATGAGGAACAATGGGGGATCAAACTAGTCACTGGCTTCCTTTCCCCGTCAACGTGTTAAATTAAAAAATAAATAAATAAAGAGCAAGTGAGAGAAACAAGGAGAGCACAACAAAACCAGAAAAAACATATTTTCATTGGAATCCTTAGCATGAGCGGTTAACAGTGTTGAAGTGAGGGGGTAAAACATGACAGGTTACAGGGGAAAAGCGACAAACTCACACCAATAATTGTCAACATGCTATTTTTTTTTACAGTTTATGAAGAAAAACAGGGAAGTGCATGATAATTATCTGAAAAAAGAAGAGATAACACAAACCATAAACTTCAATATATGACAGACAAACTGACGGACGGAACACAGTAACCCAGTGTGGTCCCCCAAGTTCCAACGACCATGCCCGTGGGACAGGGGCATCACAACACCTATACAACTTACCCTCCTGCCAGCCTCGTTATTGTGGAGATTCATGAGGCCATCTGCAGTGCCTCTGTCCTCGCGGGCGTCGACGAACTCCTTGCTAAAGTACTCCCCGAATCTAAGGTCCTCCGAGCAGCCTCCCCACTCCCACCTGTAGGAGATTTTTTTAACTTAATCATACAAGACTATAGTGTCGGACCCACGTTTTGGCAATGAGTTGTGTATGTTTTGCACACCTTATGCATCACATGTATGGTCGGTCATTTTTTTGTTTTTTCACACATTAATGTTACTACTATTACAATGAGATTATCGTACATTAGGAGTAGGTTATCGTACTCCAGAAGAAGAGTATTATACATCAGTACCGGATTATCGTATACAAGACAGCATCACAGCAACTTTGTACCTCCCCCGTGTTGGTCGTTGGCGGATCCTCTCGTCACAACCACACTCGGTCAGCTCCCCGCGACTACACGCCCTCGTCACGCTGTACGCCACGCCCGCAGCTGAGATGGCATATACATATGCCTTCTCCCTGCTCTCTGTGAAGGAAGGACAGGGTAGTGGCTACAGATAAAGGTAGAGGTCAGATGACACAGATAAAGATAGAGGTCAGATGACAGAATAAAAATATAGGTCATATGACAATCAAAGATAGAGGAGAGGTCACAACCTACAGATACAGTTCAGAGGTCAGATAACACAAGTAGAGGTAACTCACTGATACGCAGGAGGTAACCGAACACATGGGGGGAGTTGGTGAACGTTGAACAATTCCAGCGATGCATGTTGAACTGATGTTGACACTCATTGATGCCCATCCTTGCCCCTTGGCTCACAGTCTGCGGTGATACAGTGTGATACTACGACGAGTGTTTACATTGTTACTGTGGTATAATAATACTATAATATGGAAAATATCTGAACAATAATGAAAAATATTAAAATATACAATGTCAATCCACAAAAATCGAAGTCATCGTGTTTAATATATTGGTGTATGAGAGTGAGGGGGTGAGTCGTGAGGCCTCTGTTATGGTCTTATGATACTGACAATGTTTATGGTAATATATACACACAAATTAGTAAAGACAAAACCTAGTAAGTATATGATCCATTCATGGCTCTAGGTTACAAGACATAACAAGATAGACATATTGTAGGTGGTGCCTGTAGGTGGTGTTGACCTTGTGTCGGGCACGCAGTAGTAAGCTGAAGGCCGTCCCGAGTTTTTTTTTTTTATGGAACCAGCAGCTGGTGTGTGAGACTTAACTGTGGTGTGGAATAATTGATGGTGTACGTCAGGGAGAAGAGGGGGGTGTTGTCAGTCATGGTAACAGGTGGTGTACGTCAGGGAGAAGAGGGGGGTGTTGTCAGTCATGGTAACAGGTGGTGTACGTCAGGGAGAAGAGGGGGGTGTTGTCAGTCATGGTAACAGGTGGTAAAGAGGGGGGTGTTGTCAGTCATGGTAACAGGTGGTGTACGTCAGGGAGAAGAGGGGGGTGTTGTCAGTCATGGTAACAGGTGGTGTACGTCAGGGAGAAGAGGGGGGTGTTGTCAGTCATGGTAACAGGTGGTGTACGTCAGGAGAAAGAGAGAGGTTAGGTCATGGTAACAGGTGGTGTACGTCAGGGAGAAGAGAGGGGGTGTTCAGTCGTGGTAACAGGTGGTGTACAGTCATGGTCAGTCCTTGTAACAGGTAACGTCATGGTACGTCAGGGGAGAAGAGGGGAGTGTTGTCAGTCATGGTAACAGGTGGTGTACGTCAGAAGAGAGGGGAGTGTTGTCAGTCATGGTAACAGGTGGTGTACGTCAGGGAGAAGAGGAGTGTTGTCAGTCAGGTGGTGCAATGTCAGGGAGAAGAGGGGGTTGTCAGTCAGGTGGTAACAGGTGGTGTACGTCAGGAGGAAGAGGGGGGTGTTGTCAGTCATGGTAACAGGTGGTGTACGTCAGGAGAAGAGAAGAGGGGTGTGTCAGGGAGAAAGAGGGGGTGTTGTCAGTCATGGTAACAGGTGTCAGTGGTATCGTCAGGGAGAAGAGGGGAGTGTTATCAGTCATGGTAACAGGTGGTGTCACAAGTCAGGGTGTAGACGTCAGGGAGAAGAGGGGAGTGTTGTCAGTCATGGTAACAGGTGGTGTACGTCAGGGAGAAGAGGGGGTCAGTCATGGTAACAGGTGGTGTGTCACAGTGTTGTCAGTCATGGTAACAGGTGGTGTACGTCAGAGGGGGGTGTTGTCAGTCATGGTAACAGGTGGTGTACGTCAGAGGGTATGTGTTGTCACCCTGGTTACTCTAATGGCTGTAAGGATGGATCAGTACGTGTGAATTGATACCAACAGCAGGTGGAAGATCTGTTGTGTGAGGCAGAGCTGAAGACAATGGTAACAGTTACATCATGTTGAAGTTTGCAGGAGAATTGTGTTTAAGATAAATGACAGAACGAATAAGGAACCGAATTAAAAAAAAACATAAAAACAGTAACGATTGGTAACATGCAAAAAGTGCCTACCTACAGATGTTACACTGAGGTAACTGCTACATGACAAAACACGTTAATACACCAGTATGTTAAAGTGATACAGTAACATTAGACTAAATATAACAAAATTACACAAGGGAATGAAACATAACTCTTACAAAAAACAGAAGTAGCCACACAATAAATAAAACACTGCAAAGCAAAATTGACGTAGCAGAATTTGTCTTCAGAGGAATGTTGGGAAGAGCACGGAGAGCCTGGACCAGCTACGAGGGAGTAATGGGACGGACAAACACAGATGTGAGGATGACGAGAAATAAAAACGCGGCAAATTAAATTCCTGGGACACATCGCAAGAAAAAAAAAGTAAAAAATTCACCCTGGACATGAAAAAAGACGGAAAGAAAGAAGGATGGACAAGAAGATGAAAATGCTTGAATTCCATCAAAAATATAATCAAGAAGGCGACCGGATAGTTCCGTAGTTGAGGCGGCGGTCGACAGAGAACATTCGGGTAGTAGTGAGGTTAGAGCCGTAGATAGACCATCACTAATGATACTGATGCAAGACCTGAGGGATCATGACAAACTCTACTTGACATAGCTGACTGGAGGGCGCAGGTCCCTAGAGAGGAAGCAGGTAATCTGGTGTCACATTTTTAGGGATTAAACTCTTACTGCCGGTGGGTGTTCATCCTTACTCCCAAGAAAAAGTTTAAAAACTCTAACATAATGTTTCCTGGGTTAGTCGGCAGACATAATTTTATAATAAAATCTCCCAACTTTCTAGGGCCGACTCTCGACTGCTGCAGGTTGGTTTTCTCAGTTGGTGTTCTCGCGGTGGAGGATGATTGTATCTACCAGGCGTACGTGCAGATAATTTGCATTGAAAAAAATACGTCGCCTCTCTACATGAGATAACTTCATTATGTGTTTGGTTAACGTGAATTAGCAGCCAGGTGGAGGGTGAAGGGCTGACCAACACACAGACATCCCTCCACCAGCTCCTGTGTTCTCAGAATACGTCTAAATCGTTCCAATGGTTACCGATGGCCACGAAGGCTTGGCTTGTCAAGGAAGTTAAAGATCATCGAAATTGGGCTTAAAAACCAAACTATAAAACCAGGCGAACAAAGGAGTAACCAACACAAACATTAACACACACTGAAGATACAAAACTGTTGCGTTAGTATTAATAACAGAACCTGATGATGACGAAACAATTTACCATGCAAAGGCCAAGAGAAGACGGTGCAAACTGGTCACCACACAGTTGTTCCCACCATGTAAACAGGCTTTCCCAACTGCCTACACCATACAAACTCACACCACAACTCTCCATTCACTGTACTCAGAGATTTCCCTAATCTCTTTCTCCACATATCAGCTCACTAACCGGTCGGTTAAAACCCACACCACCAGCTACCCACACCATATAAACACACACCTCCAGGTACCCACACGTCGAGCACCAGGGTGGGCGGGCCCCACTTGCATATTCACCAGCAGGTGTTAAGAAGCCAGACGATATTCATGAATTGTAGTGAGGGCGAGGGGCGATACCGTGAGACGGGATATTAGTTTGCGTGACAGGTGAAGGCCGCACAAGAGCTGGTCTACCTGGGCGGCCATGTTCCCATCAACCAGCGTCCGCACACACAAAACATTCAGCTCCTGGTCACTTCTATACAGCCTCTCCCCCTGACTACTAACTCATGCACGGGATGTATACAGGTGGATGTTAAACAGTTAATAACGAGAGAATTATTGCCACTTAAATTACCATAAACACATTAATTTACTAATCTCTCCTTATAGCGCGAGGTAGGTGAGCGCTGTACACTGTTATTGTATGTCTGTTTGTCTTCTTCTCTCACCATTACAACACTAATCATAATTCTATTAGCGAAAACCTTTAAAATTTTGTCTTCGTGAAGTAATTCAATATTCGATCCAATCTTCTTTTTTCTCAGAGAAGTGTCCTGCCCTGAACCTGTACTTGGATTTATGACTCAACAAAAAAGATATATATATTAATAGAGAAAACTGCAGCTCCTATTGACACCCAACCATTATCACTCATATATCTGCCCAACCTATACTGAGACCTTAACAATGTGACCCTGAGTTAATTAAGTTACAGTATTACTAACTTTTATAACTGTTTTCCCTTTATAATCCTAAGGTTATCTAATCTTTATCTGTTGTTAGGTGTGCTGTCATTTATTCCATCTTTTTAACGCTGTCTTCTATCTGTAAGCCTTGACCATATTGCCTCCTCGCTCTACGTCTCTCAGGAGAATGAAAAACAAATCCTCTTAATCTATCTCTATAAAACAAAACAAACTACTGGTGGCGCCGCACACAACAACAAACAGGGCTGGGCGGGGCACTCAGCCGACACACCCACTCAGCCTCAAACATCACAAGTTTTATTTTTAATTAGTATGAGTGACGCCTGATGGTCCGCTCAACTGCCATCACCAACGCCGCCACTTACTTGTGTAGCCAAGAGAACTACCCATTCGTCTCCCCTTCCCTTTCTCCCATCACTCTTCTTTTCCCTTCCTATATACCCTTTAACACATCATCTACTATCACGAGGAAGGACCCCCCTACACTCCCCCCCCCATCACCTTCTCAAGACACAAACACACGTTAAACGGGGGAGAGACTAAGTAAAATGTGAATAAATGTTCGAATATTTGGACAATTCAAAAACCTATGCTAAACGTAGAGAGGGAGAAGTAAAATAAAATAGATGGAAAGAGGGAAAGGAAAGTGGCAGAGAAGGGAGGGAAGGAGGGAGGGGGGAGGAAGGAAGGAGACGGAGGGAGGGGGGAGGAAGGAAGGGAAGGAGGGAGGGGGGAGGAAGGAAGGAGACGGAAGGAGAGTTCTATTTCGTCCTCCAGGGTAAAAAAATAATAATACAGTAAAACCAATACATATCTATAGCTATCCATTTAGTAAATTAAAGAAGATAAAGCTTGTGGGTGTCTTGAGCGATGGACGGCGACTTGATCACGATTCTCAAAAGTTCTTAGACAATTTTTTTTTGTCTCGAATTGGTACTGCGAGAACACATCTATGTGCCTCTTAAGTAAAGACACAAAGCTGAAGGTTAAAATGGCGTCAATATATGACTGAGACTCTACCGTAGCTGCACACGTTCTAATATCTCGAGTTACTGGAAAAAAAATGAATGTAAGAAACAGTGAGAATTCCGACTTGAGGCTGGAGTGATGAGGGTGGTGGTGGGCGGCCAGATGCCAGGGAGGAGCGATAGAGGCGGGACCAGGGGCGTCATTTTCAACGTAATTGTGTTAGCCAGCCAGGGAGATGCACTCGCTTCCCCACCCATCACTTAATCAAACTTTGACGGAAGACACTACATAGATCCGTATACCAGCCACGTCTGTGTGTGCATAAGCCTGTGTAGGTAACGATTGTTTGAGCTCACGAGAATACACATAATGCAGATGTAATATACTCGGGTCTCGCTGTGGTGTTTGAAAAATGTAACCATGTATTGATAGTGTATATAAAATCAAGCAAGAGTGTAATTGGTTGTACAGTAAGCAGGCGAACAGTCAACTTTCTAACCAGCAGATCACAAAACTCGTAGACAGTGAGAGAAAAAAAAAATGTGTCTAAGATGGACAGCCTCAGTCCCTCGCTGTTCTTCATCTCACTCTCATCTACCACAACACAAATTACGACACCAGCCTCACGATAACCCCACTTGTTAATGACACCCAGCATACATTAAGAGTCTTCCAGCAAGCAACAAAAAAAACAACACAATGATCAGAGGAGAGACATGGCAACGTCCTCGTTAGATAAGAAACAATAAAATCAGGACAGAAATATAATTCAAAACACAAATAAACTTATCATAAAATGGATGGTTAATATACAAGATTTAGGGGCAATAATGTCGAACAATTTACACTTCGGAGACCACAACAGGTAAATTATCCCTTCGGCAGGAAAAATGACAGGCTGGATATGACGAGTACACGGGAGGACGCGACCAGTGAGGACAATTGAAGACACCGGGGGCAGGGGTCACGTCCTTCACCCTCACCTCCACACACACTGCTGGATCTGTGATATACGTCCATTATCTCTCTTTCATCCTTGCCATTCCCTCCCTCTTTCTCTCCCTTCTGCTATCCGCCTTCCTCATCCTTCTCCCTATACATTACTTCACCCCTTCCCCACATTGTAGCCCCCCCCCCTCTCTCTCTCTCTCTCTCCTTCGACCTTGTACCCCAATCACTTACCCTCTACACTCTCCTCGCTACCTCCCCTCTACACGCTCCCTGTGCCCCACACACCACTAGTACGATCACTCCCAGACAGCCCCAGCAATATGGTGTAAAAAAAAAAACGTTTAAATACTTCGGTCTCTGCCTCACCATACAACATCCATGAGCACTAAAGTACTTAATATGAGGAAAGATCAAGGAATAACTGAAGCCGTCCTCTCATCCACGCCTCTGTCCCCTCTCACCTTGAGGACGTTCTGTGACAGCCTACAGAGCTGCTTCTGCTTGGCCACGAGGTAGGTGAGGTTGTTGCACTCCTCCCGGTACCTGTGTGGCGCCAGCTCCGCCGAACTCTGCATCTGGGCGCTGTTGAGTCCCAGCAACCTGTAACAAGAGACGTCCGGGGGGTTAATTAGCTGATACCTGACACGTGTGTGTGTGTGACTAATAAAAATATACACAAAAACAAATTAAATCACGATTTTAACCTCCACATTATCCTGTTGACGAAACAATTATCAAGATGAATCACGAAATTTCCTTTAACATTAAGATATTTTCTTGGCCGAAACAAGCTGAAAAGATGAAGTAAAATTATTAAAATGAAGCAGGTTGTAATGATGGTGTGTATGGTGGGAGGTGTGTGGTCATAATACAACCATGATGGTGATGGAGCCGCTCAATAAACTCAGTGTAACGACACAGAAAACATGATGTCGAAGATGGCGAGGCTGGCTGTCATTTTGAGTCGCCGTAATGGCCCAGTTTTGTCATAAATCCATAATAACATTGGTCAGTGTTCCCCCAGTCTTGACGTTACGACTCACTGCACCAAACACTATATACCGGAGCCCGGCTACCAACACACGTCGTTCAGGGCTTAACACGACACTTTTACTTGATTAAACGACGTCTCTGCCGTCATGAAGTAATTTGGGTGGGAACTGCGATGTCCCCTGGGTGTCTAATATCACTAATGCGTCCACTCATCTCACACCCCGACCAAAACACGGCGACTCATTCAACAGGACGGGTTTATATACTGTACTGGACCTGACCTCTAATACTTCTACTTCCACACTCACCAGTCTCACTTATATATATATATATATATATATATATATATATATATATATATATATATATATATATATATATATATATATATATATATATATACAGCAGTCGATTAAATAAATTACATTTAATAATAACAGTTGTAACAAATTAACACCGGATATTTCACTATGGCGGATAATGGGTTAAGTGGTAATCAGTGAGGGGCAGCGCTTACTTACCTCACTAACAACCCCAATCCGCGGGCCATGTCCACAGTGATGTCATAATGTAAACAAACTTCCGGCGCTCTTGTTGATCCTTATAGCTAATCGACCTAATGGGTAGCCCCTCCTCCCACCATCTCCTACTCCCACCCATCACTATCACCTAAATGGAGAACGTCTCCTCTCAATCCCAGAGTGCGGGAGGTGGGAGTGGTGGTGCTGGTCCAGTGTTATCACCGCAGCGTCCCGTGTGATGGGGGGAAACACGGAACACCAACCATCCTCTGCTACACACAATTCATTTCCGAGTCTTATTATATTCTGTTGTAGTGTTATGATACAGCTGAGGTTAATAACTACATTCTATAAGTTTACGGGGAGAGTTTCGGGTAAGACTGTTCACGTTATGATGGACTCCTTCTCACCCACTATATAACCCATTTACGTATACCACTTAATAAACCCGGCCTTAATAAAACATAGGCATGTACATTTATCCAGTCAAAAGACCTTAATTGGCAGACACAATATTAAAGGTTAAGGGTGAGGCAGGATACAGCCCCTGGACACAGATCCCAGCACTCAGGCCGCAGAACACAGCTTGAGTGAGGAACTTTCTTCTTGCACTGTGCTGAGTATAAAAGAGGAATAAGAGCAACATAGATTCAGACATTTAATACACTGCCTGTCACTGTTGTCATCTTTACCCTTTGTCTCAACCAAATCTTTATCTCTCATCACTCACTCATGATTTACAATGTCCAATATACAGTTAGCCTCTGACCACTGTTGATGTAACTACTGGCCAAACTGAGGTACTGTGCCTATAGTCAGGGATCTGCTTTCATGACTTTCACAGTTGTCATTCGACTTTTAACCTTATGCAATTTTAAGCAGCTTGTAACTAATGAGTCAGTTGGGTTTTTTTTACTAACGTTCTACAAAATGCTACTGCTTCACTGTTCATATTATGACGAATAAATGACTGGAAAGAGCCCAGTGTTCCTGCAGAGATTAATAGCCGAAATACTGATGTGAAATCTCAGTGTGTAATCCTTGTTGTTGTGTGAGGCACCTCAGCTGCCAGTACGCCCTCACCAGTGTTCGCCTTATCACACAGTACAGACAGGAATGAGTCTTCTTCCGTCAGTCCCAGAACTAAGCACCTCAGGCGGGCAACAAAGAACCCGTTAGTTTACGTTGTACTCCACCAGAGAAGAAGTACTTACAGCTCACTGCTGATTGGTTAAAATGTTCATACAAATAACTAACCTACGTCATAAGATAAAAAAAAGAGTTATCTGTGGGCGACCATCTCCAAATCTCAGTATCACACTCAGGTTATAGTGTAGAAGCAATCTGCCTGAAGCCACGAGACAAGATTGGCGTCTGCTCTCCTTGGTGCAGCTGGATTGAGTTGTCCAGAAACCTGATTCATTTCCCTGACCACATAAGCAGTAGCCCGGGTGTACGAGGCGATGAGTAAAAACATCAGTGCTTCTCTCCCCAACAGTGCTTCTCTCCCCAACAGCGCTTCTCTCCCCAACAGCGCTTCTCTCCCCAATAGTGCTTCCACCGCCTCTCCCCCCTTTTTCTCTAATCATCCGTGGACTCTAATACACCATCATCACCCATTCCTTCTTTCCACAGCACCGTAATACTCCCCCCCCCCTCTCCCCTCCCTCCTCACCTCTCCCCCTTACCCCCCATCCCTCCACCCCCCAGAGGAACGCTATGGTCCAGTTTGTGAGCTGAGAGTAAAAGGGACAATATCTTGGACATTACCAATAAAGGGTTGGGGAGGAGAACCAATTTGGGAATAATGTACTCTCTCTCTCTCTCTCTCTCTCTCTCTCTCTCTCTCTCTCTCTCTCTCTCTCTCTCGTTTGTTTTCTTTTTTTCTGTTTTGTATCTGGTTACTTTTACTCACGATTGTTTATGTTGTACTAATTAGCAGGTGCCTTTTTTTTTTTTTTACATTGGTCAGGTGAATAGATGACCTGTGACGCCCGCAATGAACTCATGATTTCAGAGCTATGTACAAAGTGTGAGCTCTTAAACTGTAGTATTGAGTGATTGGGGTGAACCATCGACGGGAGTGTAAGACAAAATCTCCCTAGGATAAGAACCTACCTTAACCTAACCTAACCTAACTTAACCTAACCTTGAGAAACCTTTAACTGTGGAGGTTTAGTCCAAGGAGGTTTTGTCTTCGGGGGATTTTGTCCGGGACCCGACCGACGGACTTAACTAAAAGGCAAAAAAAAACCATTCCATATATATTTTTTTTAGATAGTTTTTTTTCCATTGTTGTTTTGACCTGACCTTGTGACCTTGACCATGATGCAATTCAGGGTGATAGTTAATGTATTTTTGGTCTTAGTTTATTTATTCTACGAGTCGCCCAAAATTTTACAGGAAATGGTTCAAAAAGTGTGTGAGGTTTGTTAGAAGGCCAGCGTAAGTGAGAGGCTATCAGGAGGAGGGAGAAGGATGGATGAGCAGCGAAGGAAGAGAGAAGTTTGTTGGAAAGAGGAAACACCAAGAGGAAGAGGAGGACCAGAGATAAGGTAAGAGGATATGGAGGAATAAGGAGTGATAGAAGAAGCAGCATAAGATAGGATAGGATGAAGGGACGGGATGAAGACAGACCACAAGGACGAGTAAATGTCAGGAATATAAAGCCACAAGTTGGTGAGATACACAGGTGTTTTGTTTTATGTTGTGTGATGCTGCGGAGCGAAGTGTAGGGGGGGCACTATACTGTACCTCCTTCCCTCACAACACTCATGACTTTAGTAAGGAATGTCTTCTGTTTACGTCTCTCCCTCACTGACCTCCCGTTTTCTATATTATCCTTCCTCCTCCCTCCACGAACCTCTCCTCACCCTTAGTTCCGCCCTCGCCTCTGATCCAACCCTCACCCCTTCTCCTACCCCCTCACGACATTCTCCCCTCCTCCCCGACCCTCTCCCCCCTCCCACTGCTAGATCTCTCCCCTCGTCTACAAGCTGCAAAATGTGGCAAACTTTTTCGCCAGCAGATTGTGGCCTCGATAAATCGTGGGTAATACCTGGGGAGAAGTGAGTCTGTCACTCCGAGGGTGGGCGGGGGCCCTGTATGGCCCGGCCTGGCCACCATTCTCATATATATGGCCCTCCACACACCCTCACGGCCACGATGTTGGGGAGGGGGAAAGAGAAGGGGGGTACACTCCTACTGACCTGTTCCTTCGCTAATAAAGTCTACAATCACGAGAGATTTCATCAAGGAGTCTAGTGTGGGTGTGGGACCAGGCAGGGCGGGACCGAGATTCTCAAAGACTCTTAGTTCGAGTTTGGTTGTCGTAACCCTGGATAAGAAAACAGCTGTATATATACGACACAGTCTCGGGGTGACCAGTGACATTTTGACCGCAACCTTCCAGTACTGTGTTAAGGTCGCCAACTACATTCTAAATCTCAGTAACGAGGAAAATCAACGAGTAATTCTTTAAAATTCGTAGACTAAATTAATCCAGTACCTGATGATGAGGGAACGCACTTAGTAACAGTAGTTTCTGTTCAGTTATGTCAATAGTTTGGCCGCCGTATGTGTCGAAGATTAAGTGAGCCACTCAGATACGTTCTAACATTACCCACGTGGATCTTGAGACCGTGGATGCTGTGTTGGGTGAATCAGAGCAACATGTTGATGGTACACAGAGATGAAGTAATGAATAAAATTAATCTTCTCACCTGGAAATCTCACTCACACTAAAATACAGAAATTTATACGACTACAACCTATAAGTTTCAGTCTTCTAATGTGGGGGTTTGGTATCCAAGTCGAAGTTCATGTTATTGTGTATTCGTCCAGTCATCCCACGCCCATTGTTTACCGGTGTGTCAGGTGCTAGGTCTTGGCTGTTTCTGGAGTCTAAATATCCTAACGCTATTTGAAGGGGGGGTGTTAGGTTAGGTTAGGTTAGGTTATGTTAGGTTAGGTTATGTTAGGGTTAGGTTATGTTATGTTATGTTACGTTACGTTAGGTCTTCTCCCCTTCTCCTCAACTTTATCTCCCCGCCACTCCCATCACCTCTCCTGCCTCCCACTTCATCC